AGAACCCAATAAATCCTTTTTTGGAAATTTGTTTTAAATTTAATGAAATTGGAGAATATTTTATTTATATTTTTAATTATTCTCTATCAGAACGTATATTTAAATTTTTTGTTAAAGTTGAAGATACAAATAAAGAAAAATGTTTAAGAAAAATCTTTGTAAATAATTATCAAATAGAAATATTACAAGAATTGGATGAATGTATTCATATTGAAGTTCTCAAAACAAAAAATAAAAAACATAAAGACGGGAATATGCTTATTGTTAAAGGAATTAACTATAAATTAGACAATAATTTTATTTATAATGTCAGTATACAACCGATGTTTGAATTGAAAAATGAAGAATAAAAAGTTGTAATTGTTATAAAGAATACTTTTTATTTTAAACTTTTTTGAAAAATTAATTATGGAAATTTTTAAAAGAATTTTTTAAATTATTCTTCCGTCAATTTAGATTTTTTTTTTATTTTTGGGGAAATTCAATTTTTGTATTTTATTCTTTTTTTTTTATTAATTAATTTTACAATTAAATTTAATTCTTTTTGTTTAAATACTGTTTAAATTTTTAAATAATTTTAAACAATTCTATTTTTGACAATAATATTTTAATTGAAAAATAATTTAAACCAGAATTGTACATTAAAACCATTAGCCGAATTCGAACATATCCGTATAGCTTTTAAGTTCTCGAATCTCAAAAATCAACGGGAAATAGGGGTACAGCAATTCAAAAAATAATTTAACCCCTAGAGCCTATTTTAAAAATTTATTTTAGGTTTATTTGAAAGCTCATAAAATTTGCTACAAAATAGTCGAGATCTCAGTTATTTTGGTTTAAATGTTTCTGTGGTACTATGAAGGAGGAGATCGTTGGTTTTAATAGTTAAATATGCTTAAGAAGTATTAATTGTGATATCGGGGGCATTTGGAGGTATTAAGAGAAATATCGAGATTTGGCCGATATTTATCTAACCCTCTTATCGAGAGTTGGCCGATATTTATCTTCCCTCTTAATCCTCACGATCTCCTTCGACATATTCCCAAAACCTTTCAACCTCTTGATATTCTTTACTCCCCTCACATTTAATCCACCGAAAATTAAAAGTAAAATAAAAAATATTTAAAATTGTAAAAATAACAAATTATAATTTAATCAAAAAATAATAATAGATTACGTTTTATGTACTATGTCTAGCAGGGATGGGCCGAGATACCCGATGACCGAAACTCGGATCGATCCGAGGAAAGTTTTGGAAACCCGACCCGATATTTTTTCAACTTGGCCCCCTCTTACCCTCTTTTAATATAAAATATGGATAATAAAGAGAAGAGGCTTTTGAAATTCTTTGAAATTGTTAGCAAAATCGTAAAGTACGGAACAAAATGTATGGGAACCAGGGATATTTTGAAATAAAAAAATATTCGAAAATCTGAAATCAAAAGATATGTAAATAATTTGTAAGCAATTGGTGAGTATGTGATTTTAAGGAAAATCCAGGAATCGGGAACGGAATTGGAATAAATAGTGAGGACTCATTAAACAAAAGTCGCATATCGGGTAACCCGGCCCATCCCTACTAGATATTTAACATTCGCAGAAAAAGCGAAGATTTTGTGAATTTTGGAGTGACATGAAGCTCCCTAGCGAAAAACATTTATCTTTAAACAAAATTTTCTCATTTTTTCTTTTCTCCATTTTTCAATTCAAATATTGGTTGAATCAAAGCTCGGTAAATATATTTACTATTCCCATTTAATTCTTCTTGTTTAACAATAAACATATCCCCATCATTTTTACCTTCATTATTTTCACTTTTAATAATTTTAATAAAAATATTTTTATTTAATTCTTTTAATATTTTCCCTTCAAAAACATTTCCAACAAAAATTTTCATTAAACATTTCTCTTTATTTTCATCCTCAACTTTAACAAAAAATTTAAATGAAGGAGTTGAATGGCCATAAATATAAATAAAATATTCTCCAATGTCATTAAATTTAAAGCAAATTTTCAAAAAAGGATTTTTTGCTCCTTTTCCATTAATTTCTTTTAATTTTAAATTTTTAAAAATATTTTTGGATATTTTGTTGTTTTTCCATTTAATTGAATTTAAAAATAAATTAAATTTTGTTAATTTAATAATATTAAATTTTATCATATCCTCTTCCAATTTTGCTTCGATTCCATTTAATTTTATAATATTATTTATATTTAAATATCCAAACATATATCCTTGACTAACTTGGGTTTGGTTTAAATAATTTCCATTTTCATCTCTTATATTTATTTCAATTAAACCATTAAAAACAGGTGTAATTTTAACAAGTTCCTTAAATTTAAGAATTTATTTTTTGAGAAATTAAAAGTTTTATATTTTTGTAGAGACCTGAAAATCCATCCCTACTTGTTAACTTAGTTTCGAGAGTTAAGAAGTTTAATTGTTTATAACTTTGGATGCAGACTAAAAAGTAGGAAAACAATACACATTTTCTGTTAAGTATTTTAAGATGATTCACCTAGAGAATTTAAAACGCTTATGCGGTGGTTAAACGATCTAAAGGGATAAAAGAGAAAGCATTAATCGTCGCCCCGGTAGCTCCGGGGTAGAGTTCCTGTATGTGGTGAGTGAAAGCGCCTAGCAATAACTATGAGGCGGTCTCTCGGTCCCAACTCTTTCTCTCTCTCTTCTCAGTGGCTAAACTTTTGCTAATTCTTTCTATGTATATCCCTTAATTTCTTTTTGACTTTTAACGTGAAAGTCAGGAAACACATTAATTTATTTTTTTTTATTTTTCTACCTCATTTTTTCTTTCATTTTCCAAACAAATATCCAATCCAGATTTAGTATATATATAAGGAACCTTTTCATTTAAATAAATTATTTTTTTATTTTTATTTAAATTAATAATATCCTTTATTGTATAAATTTTGTTAGTTTCAGAAATTCCATAATTACAATTGTTTGTTGATGCTAAATATATCTTATCTTTTTCACTTAACACTCCGTTTATTTCAATTCCAATATTTACATATTCTAGCCGCTAAAAATAAATATAAATTACCGTGTATACTATATTAATTACCCTCCCTCAAATAATTACCCCACCTCTATTAATTAGTTAATCAGAAAATATTGAGAAGAAAAGTTTTTTAATTAAAAATATTGTAAAGCATATAGCTATTAATTTCCTAAAGCTGTGCAGTAGGCGGCGTGGTGTAATGGCTAACACATCAGTCCGGTCTACTGAAGATGCTGGTTCGCTCCCAGCCGCCGATTAACCTTTTGCACTAGCTAAAGGAGAGAAATAGCTATAGCCCAGCTGCTTTACTATATCTTTAATATTCAAAACTATACTATATTAAATAATATTTTCCAAACAAATAAAAATTAAAAACATCAACATTACCTCCTCAACATTATTTTTAATAAATTCAATATTTATCAAATTAATTTTAATTTGTTCCTCGTTTTCTTCTGTATATTCAGCAAGAATATTTGGATTATTTAAAATATTATTTGAATTAATTAAATTAGTAAATAATATTAAAAATAAATAAATATTTATTTTTAAATTCATTTTCTAAAAAATAAATTTATATTAATAATTCTATTAAAAAAGCAAGAATAAGCTTTTTAATAGAGCTAGGTATTTCCTTGCCTGCGTACTCTCCACCTCTTTTAATCGCTTGTTTAGTACAGAGTTGTTTCGAATATTCGATTTTCGATTTTCGAATTTTCGAACTTTTGAAAAAATTTGATTCAGACTTTATCGGCCCTCGAACATTTAAAAAATTTTTGCCTGCGGCGCAGAAAAAGGAAGAAATCTTCGATTTCCGATTTTCGAAGATTTTTTTGTTTCGAAACATCTCTGAAAAGTATACAATAATACGTGAGATCGACACTGGATGCGTATGTTAAAATTTCAGTAGGAAATGACAAAAGTGCCAAAAATTCCCCGAAATTTTGACAATTTGGACAAAATTCAGTTGAATTTCAAAACTTCTAAGATTTTATAATATATACATACTTTAATTATTTTTAACATAAAAATTAAATAAATTTTTTAATAATATAATAAAAATAAATATTTATTTTTAAATTAACTTCTTAAATATTAATTTATTTTACATAAGAATTATGTGGATAAGTTGCACTTCCTCACATTTAAAAATTTACAGTACCGGCAATATGTTTACATCCACAATTAATGTTGTTATAAATCTTAAAGGCTTATAAATTGGCAAAATAAAAGTGATAGACAAAATGCCGCAATTAAAATAGGAAAAAAGGGTTGTAAATAGATTACCCTACCTCTGAAAATGAGGTGGTCTTCGGTAGAATCTTTATAATTTTTGGATAAAATTCTGAGCATAAAAAGGGATGTTATCAATTGATAGTCCTTCTAAAAGTACTTTGGAAAAATTTTTAGAAAAATTATTTTGTCAATTTATAAGCCTTTGAAAATTAACAACGTTAGTGATAAACATATTGCCGGTACTGTATTAGTCTTGTGAGGCAAATAATAAAATTTATTATTTTGAAATTTTTTCTTTGAAATGAAAAAAAAATAAATCATAAAAATTCTTATTGTTACCATATAAAATCCCAATTAATAGTAGCAAATACATATAAACCATTGAGAAGGACATTGAATGTTAGGATCTTATTAATGGAAAATTCACTGATTTAAAGTTTTTATTTATTCTATTAGAGAAGTTTCTGAGACAAAATTATCGCTATCGCAGTATCTGGCAAATATTTATTGCTATTACTTTATGCTTTCGAAGCTCCTCCAAGTGGCTGATGTTTGGCAACGTGAGAAACCCTTCTTATTAATCTCTCTATTAATAAGAGTTCAACTTAAAGCTGGAATAAATAAAATCTACACACTAATTAAAGCCCCATCTTTATTTTAAATTTACATCAAATATAAAGACAAGCAAATACAACATTAAATTTAAAATAAAAAGCTCTAATAAATTCTTTTAAATTATTTTTATGTTCTTTTTAAATTTCCAAAAGTTCTATTATTAGAAGAAGAACATCCCCCACCACTACTAATTGTTGCAGTTAATTCAATTAAAGAATCTACTCTAACTAAAGGTGCTGGCCCTTTTGGGATGTTTTTGTGTATAATTATTGCTGTACTTGATTTACGTCCTTTTTGTTTTTCTTCTTCAATATTGTTATTATTTAATTCTTTTTTAGAAAAAGGAAGTTGTTTTTGTTGTCTAAAATTTAAAAATAAATTTAAAAAATAATCAAAGGTATCTTTAGAAGGGTACAGCCCAAGTAGGCGCGGGCCAAGTAGGCGCGACCGAGTAGGCGCGACCGAGTAGGCGCAGGCCAAGTAGGCGCAAGGCCAAGTAGGCGCACGGCCCAAGTAGGCGCAAGGGTAAATTTCTTAATTTTTACCCAAAATTTTTTTTATTAATCTTCAACTAATTTTGTTAATTAGTTGGCTGAATAATCAAGCAACTTTATGTGGACACTGGACTTTTTCTAAAACTGCCCTTCTTAGGGAAAAAAATTTATTAAGTGAAGCTCGTTGATGTTTTTATTTTTTGATAAAATTAAAAAAATCTTTTAATATTTTTCTCATAAAAGCTCTATACTTAGCTGCTGATAAGTTTTGGATTATTTGCTAAGTTTGTTAATTAGTGAAAGCCATGCTGCTTTGATAATTCCTGTGGCTTACCAATGTTATGAATACTCTAACTAGTTCAACTAGTTTAAGGGGGACTAACTAGTTAGCCTTTAGGAACTAACCAGTTTAAGGGAACATGAAGTATATACAAAAGTACAATTAACAATCAAGATACGACTATCAAGGCGTTTCACAAAAAAGTCCAGCTACAGTTAGGAGTCTTTTGATGATTAAAAGCTTTTAATGGATTAAAAAATAAATATATGTACACTTTTGAACTGCCTAGTTAATGCATACAGTACGAACGTATACTAACAGGGTATCGATATTTAAGGTGTTTTTCTTCTAAAATAGGTACCTTTCTTCTAATTTTTATCAAGAATCTTTCTTCTAACTCATTAACATAAAAATATTTATACTGACTTACTTTTTAATTTGAATATTTTAAGCTAAAAGATTTGCGCCTACTTGGGCCGTGCGCCTACTTGGGCCGTGCGCCTACTTGGCCTTGCGCCTACTTGGCCTGCGCCTACTCGGTCGCGCCTACTCGGTCGCGCCTACTTGGCCCGCGCCTACTCGGGCGTGTCCCTCTTTAGAAATACTACCTTTGATTATTCCTTTCATGTATTATAGGGATTGTTTCCTCAACATTTTTATTTTTCCTATATTCTTCTCTTTTACTTCTAAATGTATATTCTGCCATTGCATCTGTACTTGATGCTTCTTCACTTAAAGAAAATTCTGTAGCTGGATACATTTTGGTTGTTTTGGGGGCTTTTTCAGAGTGAAGGTGGACTTCTGCCTGGACAAATATCTCTTCAGCAGAATTTCTTTAAAAAAAAATAATTTTTATTTAAAATTTGAAGAAATAATAAATAACAAAAAACACCTTCTCTCTCCCATAGAAATTCCATTTTCTTGAATTTTTGTTTCCCTTTGTAATTGCCTTGAATTATCCCCAGCGGCAAAAGTATTAGCTCTACTCCTTTCATTTGTTCGTATTCTTTTAATTGTTGACTGTCTTGAACGGCGCAATTCTGCATTATTTTCTTCTTGTAATATCTAAAACCGTAAACGAGTCAGAAAATTATTTGTGAATTTTTTTTTGAATTTTTAAATATGGATTAGGACGTTTCGATTTCCGTGGTTATCTTTCTCGTTTTTTAATGTAAAGCCAATTTTCAAAAAATTTTACAATATCGAAGCTTTGGTAAGGATCAATTGTTGGAGTAAGAACTAAGCAAAAGCTTTGCTTCAGTTAAGAATTAAACCCTATAATCTCCTATTCAGGCTAATATTTATACAACTTTTACCCCCTCCTCCTCCTCCCCCTCCAAACGTCCTCTTAATTAAAATTCCCCAATTATATATTTCTCCCTCAATTTATCCCCACACCAATCTGGGCGTGCCGATCTCGAGATTCTAGAGTAATTACACAAGCAACAATTAGCAGAAACATTCCAAGACCCATTAAAATAGGGCCAACATATTGCATACTCTTCAATATAAAACGAAGCCAACCAACAGGTTTTTCTTTATCCTTTGAGGTATTTACATTTTGAGAAGTTTCTGGGACAAAATAATCGCTATCGAAGTATCCAGCAACTAAAGAATTATTAATTATTGTCGAACTATAAGAAAGCCCTTTTAGACTGAAAAAAGGAAGTAATATGTTTAAGAAGCTCCCAACCTAGTGGCCAACTAAATTTTTGAAAAAAAGTATCCTAAACGGAATATATATTAGAGATAAAAATCGTGAATATTAGAAATAGAAAATAATTTTCTTTTAATAAATTAACCACCAGTCATAACTAGAGCCAATATCATCATAATTGTTCCGATTATTACTGTCACGCAAACTGACCATAATGTCTAAAATTGGGAATAATTAATTATTTGAGACATATTTTGCTAAAACTCTTTAATAAATCTTAAGTTATAAGAGGCCCTCTATTTTAATTTTAAAAAATCCCAAGATTTAATCACTTGTTTGTCGAAGAAGACAGCAACTTTAAAAAATTTTTCAATAAAAATAGAAATAACTGAAGACGATTTTTGTATTCTTTTTTTATTTTTTGCCATTAAAAATATTTCTTTAGTTTTTTTAAATTTAATTTTATAAAATTTAAAAATTGATTGGGGGGAAAGAGAAAGTTTTGTGTGTTTTGTTTTAACTAAAAAAGTGTTCCTTCCAAAGTTCTCTCTTTTTTTTTTATTTTTTTTTCTTGCGCAAACAAAAGTTTCTTTTTTTGAGAACAATAACTAAAAGTTGATTTTGTTGCAGATTTATTTCTAAAAAAATATTATTTTCATTGAACTAAAAATACATAGATATCTAGACAAACCAAAAGGTTCCCAATTAATACAAAATTTTCCAAGCTTCATTTAAAACCTCATTTTTTGTTATTTTTTATAAATCGCTAATATTTAGTTTTATGATAAAATAACCCAAAAGTTTAACAGTGGTTAATTTGTCCCTTTAATAAAACGGTTCCCAAAACTTCTAAGCTCATGTACTTCCCCAACTTCCAAACTAAAATGCTCTTTAATTTTTAAATTATTTCGAGTATTCTCCCATGAATCAATTTAATAATTAACAATGAATGTGCAAATTAAAAATGAAAATCAAGAAATTTTTTAAATTATTACTTTTATTGTTGAAAATATCTAAATATTCTTAAAAAATAGTTATCGAAAATTTCTAGCGGGCGCTGTGGCTCATTGGTAGTCTGTTTGAATACGAAAAACCCTGTGGAGTTAGATGTGAAAGTTCAACCCGCGTTCCTTTTTAGTGGTCGCATAGCGCAATCGGATAAGTCTCGGACCAGATATTTTTATCACCTTTCTTTCTCTGTAAAATCCCTCCAAGATCCCCAAATATTTATATTTTCCCCACCTTCGGGTCCACACATTTTTTTATAATTAATTTTTTCTGTTGTTGTTTGGCTGCTTTTTGTTCTTTTTTTAATCTTTCAAGTTTTATTCTGTCCGATTTTGGCATTTTCTCAAGTTCTGACAGATTCATTTTGCCAATTCCTAAACTAACACCTCTGACAGTTAACATTTTTTAAATAGTTTTTTTCTGAAAAGATTTTTAAAATTAAAATAAGATTTTTAAGTAATTAAAAAGAGCCTTCTTCTTCCAATCACAAAAATCAGTAATAATAAATTTAATCTTATGTAATAATTGTAAGATAAAAATCTTCAAAAAAGTCCTAGGTGACAATAACCCTCTAAATACACTGGAATCTATGTTTAATAAAAACACCTACACAGATTTTTATTATGAAAAAGTAAATAGTTAATTTAAAAAATTAAATTGTGTTGACATAAATTTAAAATATTTTAAACAATTTTAAAAGTTTTTCTTTAACGGCACAAATAAAAACTTTTATTTTTCAGAGTTTGGCACTTTTAAAGATTTTTTAAAAGCAAAGTTTTGTTTGTAAATGACGGCAAAAAAAGGCGGAAACCCTTTCAGGAAGAGAAAAAAAAACAAAAAAGTCTGTGCCATTTTATCAAAAAAGTAGCACGAGAAAAAATCAATTTGAGAGAAGTCCCTCTTTCCCCTATTTGTCGCGAATAAAAAAGCAGCTGCCTTTCTTTTATTTTTTAAAAAGTCTTGAAAGGGTGAGGCTTTTTTTGTTTTAAAAAAGATTAATTTTTTAAAATAATTAAATTTTTTCCAATTGTTTTTTAAACCTCTTTAGAATTAAATTAATTATTACTACCCCAGGCTTGCTTAAAATAAAGCACATAATAAGGTAGTTATTCTTCCAAACAACTTAACTTATTAATTAATAACAATAAAAGATATAGTTTGGGAATTATAGGCGACTGGAACTAATTTCCGGGCTAGATTTTCAAAACTATTTCAGAATCGGAGTTGTTCTTTAAAATAATCCGGCCCAAAAAGAACCTTTAAACCTCTCTAGGCCAGATTAAGTCCATTAAATAATCGGTAATAGTGAGGGAACAAATTTACGTCTTCCTAATTACCCCTTCACACCACTCAAATTTGTTTCTTCAATAAAAAAATTTAAAACATTTTTAAATTTAATCAGCATAAAGTAATTTAAAGGGAAATTTAGTTTTAAAAAATATATTAATTTAATATATAATTTTAATATACAATTTATAAATTAAATAATTTTTTAATAAAAAGAATATATAAGTAAAGAATTTTAGGGAAATATTTCAGACCCCCCCCCCCCATTTGTAGTTCAAAATAATGACAAAATTTTGTTTTTACCTAAAAAAGAACACTAATTGTGAATAATTCAGAAAAAAATAATTTTAAATTTATTTTTGTGACATAAGAGATGGGGAAAATTTCAAAAGAAAATTTTTTAAATAATTCAGAAAAACCGAAAATGATAAAAACCTTTTTGCTTTTAAATAATTAAAGAGATGCAGAAAAAATAAAAGGAAAAATAGGTACACATTCTAATAATTTTGGAGGGTTTTTCAGTTATGCACACAAAAATCAGCAATCAGAATTCACAATTTGTAAAAGAAATTTTTTTGTTTTTCTTTATTTTTGAATCTACCTTTAATGCAAAAAATAATTATAAATTTTTGTGTGTCTGACCGAAAAGCTAAACTTTTTAAAATAATTTTAATAATAATATATTTGTGTGTAAGTACTAGAAAAATAAATCTTTCTCATATATAATCTTTTTTAAATAATATTATTTAATTTCCAAAAAAAATAAACTTTCAATTAACGTCCAAAGGTGCCTGATTCTCTGGAATTAAGGATGTGAAGAATGTCTGAAATGTTCCCCAAAAAATACTCCATGCAGAATTTCCCGAATTGTTAACAGGTGTTGGTTGCTGTTGCTCTGTAGTTGGTTGTTGATTTCCCTCATTTTGTATTTCTTCCTGTTGTTGCTGACCATTTTGCGCCTAAAATGAAATTTTTAAAAATAAATTAATTTTGAGAAAATAATATTAAAAAAGGAATCGGAAGTTGGGAAATGTCTCCTTCCTTTATTAACAGTAAAAAGATTTCAAAATTTGTCTGTAATGTAAAAAGGAGTTTTTTGAAGTTATAAAAAAATTTTCAAAAAGATTTCAGTCAAAATTTTTGTGAAAGTAAAAGATCTGAGTGAGTGAGAGTTATCAAAAAGTTAAAACGCTACAACGTTATCCCTCAATAATCCCCATTATATATTTTTTATAAATTAAAAACAAAAATTAACCTCTCTATTATTCACTTCTCCAGGTCTTGCATCACCAGCAGCTGCTTCCCTAGCCTGTTGCTGCCTGCCTCTAAATATATTTACCAACCAAAAGAGTCCAATCATTGCAAGAACAAACACAAAACGTTCAATTGATGAGTATAATAATAAAACCATTCCCAACAAAATAAAACGAATTGATTTGTAGATTATATCCAAAAAGTCTGGGGCAGCCCGGGGTTCGTTATTTTGTTGAACATTTGCAACTATTGGCATTTGAAGAGGTACTTGCTGTTGTTGCTGAATAGGAGGAAGTTGCTGTCCAAATGCGGCAGCGTTCGAGAACTAAAAAACGAATGATTTTGAGGAGTACAAGAATAATCATAAATTCGGGCCGGCCAAGAAGAGTGAATGAATTTATGAAAACTCGAAAAACTCAATCAAGTACTCTAAAATCTTCTATTTAGCTATATTTTTGACTATAGAATGAAAGAAAACCTCGGGGATCAACTCAACCCATTCAATATCATAAGAAAATAACCTGTGCAAAAACAGCTTGTTGAGCAAAAGCCGCTTGACTTAATGGATTCCACATTGGCCACTGAACACCTCCATAGGGCATTCCAACGGCATTCTGATACAAAGGCATCATTTGTGAAATACTAAAAATTAAACAATATTAAATTTAAAAATATAAAAAATACTATTGTTGATAAGCATTCATCCATGCTTGTTGCTGATCCTGTTGTTGAGTCGGGTAGAAATTGTTTGTCGGAAAAGGCATAGGCATTGGAATACCTGTACCATTATTAACTGGGATTTGAGAAGAATTACTATGTCCAGTGCTAAAAAAGTGAAATAAATAAAATCACAAATTAAGAAAAATCCAAGATTAAATTTAAATTTGAGACATGTAATTGGGTAAAAATTTATGGAAAACTATAGAACTAAATAAAGAAACAACTTAAAAAAGGAAACCAAGGGCGTATCCAGGGGGTCGATTTCAGAAAGGGAAATAGGGAATGCGCTTTGGCTTTAAAACGTAAATTTCCTACAACCCCCAAAATTTTGGGGGTTGTAGGCGCTTTTTCGACCATTTTCCTCTCAAAATTTTTCATTTACCCATTTCAAGGAAGAAGGCTATAGCCCCTATCCACGCCCTTGAAGGAAACTCACATTCACCTTAAAATAAAAAAAATTTACCTAGAACTACTTCCAGCACTACTTGCTGCAGCAGACCTATGCCGAACAGTTGGAGAAGCAACCTTTCCAGTATAAACCATATGGATAACTTGTTTTTCGAGTTGTTCATCAGGAGAACGGGGCATTCCATCCCTCTGCTGTTTCAGAACATCTTTGATTGTTTGTTCATTTTTAAGGCAATGGCCGGCATAAATTAAACGTTGACGTTCAACTTCCTTAAAAATTTAACAAAAAAAAATAATAAATAGAAGAATAATTACCGGATTAAAATCACAAATTTGCGTCAAGTGTTCTTTTAATTGCAAAACTGTCCAATTTTCAAAACATTCAACATTGTAGTCAGAAAATGTTTGTAGAGCACAACGAATCGTTAATTGTATTTTTTCTTGTTGGGACATTTGTTCTTTGAATTTTTTGAAAAGTCTTTAAGTCTCTTTTAAATTTCTAAAAATAAATTTTTAAACAAAAAGTGTCACAATTCAACTAAAAATATTTAAGAAAAAAAGAGAAAAAATATTTAAAAGCCTCCGCAGTCCTATGATCGATTAATATCGAGTGAACGTTTGGGGGAAATAAAATATACTTTTATTGGACATTTATTATAATTTCTTTTTTTTGTTTGTGAATCAAATAAATAGTGTAAAGAATGGGGGGATTTAATTTTAATAAAAATATTATTAAATGATAAGTTATTAATTGGTTGCTTAGCGCCAGCTAACAGCTGCAGCTGTTTTACACATTAAGGCTACGTTAATTTAATCAGACACAAATTAAGCGAGAAAATATCAAAATGCCAAAGAGAAGAAAATATACGAAAGACCAAAAAATTAAGTAAACATTTTTAATTATAACTTTTTGGGGAGCGATCAGACTTGCTAGGTCCAGTTAGAAAAAATATTCCGCTTAATTGTGACTTTCGAATGATATCAAATTTATTCGGATTGGATCAAGAATAAAAAAGTTATGATCAATTAAACTTCAGACTCAACTGACAACCAACCCCAGAATTCTTGCTGACAGCTTACAGTCACTAATTTCTCTCCTTCTTTAATGTCTCTTATTTTAAGTGTTACACTCGTTTATTTATTTCTCCTTCGCAAAACAATTCATGTCTGTCAACGTGGCTGAAAGTTCTTTTTATCGTGTTATTAAATTTATTTTCTACGTAGAATTAATTTTTTAATAATTCTTTTAAAGTTTAATTTTCTTTTTAAATTTATTTTTTTAGTTTTTAACACTTTTATTTTCTTCCTTAACGTTTAAATTCTTCTGAAAATGGGCGATTTTGGCGAGTGGTATCGGTCAATACCACTAATTACTAGATATTGGTTTACTGGAGCAACAGTTATTCCTTTAATGGGGCGTTTTGGATTATTTAGTCCGTATTTGATGTTGCTGGACTTTGAATTATTTTTCTACAAATTTCAGGTTTTTTAAAGAATTTTTGTTTAAAAAAAATATTTTTAGTTATGGAGACCGATAACTGCACTATTCTATTACCCAGTTACTCCACAAACAGGATTTCATTGGCTTTTGATGTGTTATTTTCTTTACAATTACTCAAAAGATACGGAAACTTCAGTTTATGATGGAAGGCCTGCAGACTATTTATTTATGTTAATATTTAATTGGATTTGCTGTGTGGTAAATTTTTTAAATTTGTTATTTATCTAGTTGACATGTTTCTATTTGAAAATTCGGATACGAAATTTAAGTTCTAATTGAACCAGTAAGCGTAGTTAAAAATGTTTAGGTATTCAACCCTTATACGCCCTAAATTTGATAAAACTATTGCTGGTGATACCTTAAAATCATTGGTCTCGAGAAAAAAATGAGAAAAAAATTAATTCTCTTTCGATATTTTTGAAGCTTTCCAGTAGGTAAGTGTGCTTTTTTCTTTCCAGTTTTCCGAGTCAGAATCTGAGATTATAATTTGGCCATTTCGAGATTTTCTTCTAGGGACCTTAATGATTACCACTATGGCCTAACATAAGAAAATTAGCAATTTTTGAGGAAATACTCCGTGAGTTTTCCTTCATTCTCTTTCCTGTTCATTTCCTCTCCAAAAATATTTATACTCGCTTTTATCTTTAATAGATAAAAAAAATTTTTCAGATAATCTGTTTTGTCTCTGAAATTTATTTTTTATTGGAACCAATGGTTTTGAGTGTACTCTATGTTTGGTGTCAATTTAATAAAGACCGAACAGTTTCTTTTTGGTTTGGAATGCAATTTAAGGTTTATTTTTATTTATTTTTAATTTAACAAAATTTTTTCAGGCTGTTTATTTGCCTTGGGTTCTTGTAGCTTTTAATATGGTTCTTAGAGGGGGAGGAATTAATGAACTTATTGGAATTCTTGTTGGTCATACTTATTACTTTCTTGCCTTTCAATATGCTTTGGATTATGGGGGTTCTGTGATTATTAAGACACCACAATTTTTGTGAGTTTTTAAAAAAGTGTTTGGTAACTTAATTGCCTAATCTTTGAATATAAAGAGGTTTAAGAGTTGATGATCTGTTCCGATATTTGCGGACGAAATTATTTGCTTTGAATAAACTAACATAATTGTCAGACCTCTTTATTAAAATTAAAAAAGACTGACTTTTTGGGTTTACTATCAGTAGAGTATATCACCAACCATTTAAAACCTCGAATCTCAACCTGTTTCCCGTCTATTATATCTTTTTTTACATTACCATTAACTTTTATTCAATAATTTATACGTTTATCTAAATATCCATCCAACCTCTGGGTTGGTTAAGTTGGATAATTTAATTTTCGACATCTAAATTTATTATTGGTTCGAGTCCTTAGACCTGTAAAGATTTTTAAAAATGCAAGAACCAGCGATACAGGAAGTTTTTCAAATCCTGTATATCCTAGATTCCTTGCTAAATTAATTATTCGAAGTTTGAGAGGCAAATATATTTGTTTATGAATTTGTTCTCTAGGATTCGAAATTACATTTTTTTAATTGAAAAAAATAATTTTTTTATGATTGGATGGGTGGAAGAGTTTTGTTTAAGATTAAAAATTTAAGTTTCCAATATTTAATTTCAATGATTTAGATACAATTATCTTCCAAATCGGGTTGGTGGATTTGCTGGTTTTGGAAGCGTTCCACAAAGCAGAACCGCAACAAATCGTGGAGGAGCAACAGGCGGTGGAGGTCATAATTGGGGTACAGGACGAGAACTTGGAGGAGAACAACGATAAAGGAGATATATTGCAATTTTTATTTTTTGGGTGTTTTTTGTAAAAGTATTTATTTTTCCGTTCAAGTGGATTATTTATAAAATAATTTTTAAAAAATAATTTTAAATCCTTGTAGGTAACTGTAATATTCCTATTCAATTTACTTACAATAATTCTAGGTGTTATTTTACTTTTTTTACCACTTGAGCGGAAGTCTTACCATCAAAAACATTTTTTTTATTAAAAGAAAATTATCGACATACAAATTTACATTTGTACAGAATAAGAGAGAATTTTTTTGTTAATTTTTGGGTCTTTTAATTAATTTTTTAGTTCCAAAATTTTTTTTCCTTTTTTTAGTTGAGATCCTCTAATTTTTGACTAGTTTATTATAGATATTGAGGAGGATGTTGTAGGCCTAGTATTATTTTCATTTTCTTCTTGTTCCTCATTTTTTATACTCTAAATTCTAAATATAAGTTTTTCTTATTTTTAAAAATTAATTTAATTATACCAACCCTGATATGTGCATTTTGTCTTCTTAAATCAGATTTTATTAAAGCTGTTAAAATAAAACCAACAAATAATAAGGCAGACATAATTACATTACACCATAAAATTGATAGATCGTGAAGTACCTAAATAAATTAATTAGAAAATCAAGCTTGATTTTAAAATTATAAGGACGGGTTATTTTGATTATATTTCGAGCAGACTGCGTATTTGTAGGATCGAGCATGCGGGGGGGGGGGGGGTCTCCGAAGTTTTTTGCGGGATTGTAGTTCAGGGAGAATTAATTAACAAATAAGCTCAAAGAATGCCTTGGTCAATTATTTTAAAAATCAGGCCTTGGATTCCCTGACCTGGGTTAGTTCGTTTGTTAAATACCGTTATCCGCGTTAATTTAAATTAATATTTACAAAAAAATAAAAATTGTATTCTCTTCACCTTTCCCATTCCAAATGTCATGGCAATTCCAAAAGCTTGCGCTGACCCATTCAAAAGCCCTGAAGTTGTCCCTTCTGCAATTGGAAAAGTTAATTCTGCAGCAAATTCAAAGCCAAGAGGTAAATAACCGGTCATAAAAAATCTGAAGTGAAATAAATTTTTTTATTTTTTAATTAAAAAATAATTTTACCCAAGAGCTATTGCAATAATAAAAATTGTCCAAAGCGGCCATCTCGCCAATGTAAAAGTAAATACACCCATTCCAAGAAAGGAAAACAAATAAACTATTAATGTTGTCATTCTGAAAAAAAATTTGAAAAAATTTGTTGATGTCCAGATTTCCCTCTAAAATAATTTTTTGGTTTTTTTGGGGGGGGGGGGGGGGGGAATTCTAAATTTTTTTTTGAAAATTCCTTTCTCAAAAATGTATAGCCTAAGACTTAGTTTTGTGGAATTCAATAAATAGGGAGAGATCTAAATTAAGAGACCCCCCCCCCCCCTTCTAAAATTTTTTAAATATAAAAATCCCTCTCTTATACTTAAAATGATGCCATTTATCAAGAACATAACCACAAACAACAGAACCAAACATTCCACTAACAACAATTAATAACCCAATCGTGCCTGTTGCTTTTTGTGCACCCTCATGATAAAAAAGTATCATTTGACTTAAAAGCGTAGATATTGCATAAAATACACCAACATTAATTCCTTTTTAAAAATAAATTTTTAGAAAAGATTGTAAATTGTTGTTTAACTACTTTTTTGTGCTTTCGATAGTTACTAATAAATAACTCGACTTATAAAAAGGTACAAAATAAAGGAGAGCGATTTACAAAAGATTGGAAGGAAAGCTCTCAGATACAGTGTGTCAAGAGACTTTAAGACCCTGATTACCCCGTGAAATTACCCTGTGAAATTTCTTCGTTTTTCAACTTTCACAAGAGTTTAAGCAAAGAAAATTTATTATATCCTCAGATAAGTACATATAAATCTACCGTATATGCTAAAAATATATATTGCTTTAAATTATTCGAGAATATGATAGTCCTATATTTTCTCCCAGAAATTAGGAATGTAGGTGTCCACAACCCCTTCCTCCCTGATTAAAAAAATTCTTTTAAAAATATTTTCTTCTAATTTACCATAAGTTATAAGTAAAAGTATATAATTTCCATTTTTTAACAAATTTTTAATTGACCGTCCAAAATCTCCTTCTCTAGATTCATCAATTGCTTGCATTTGGGCATTTGATGGAGGAAGAGGAGGCTTTTCGGCAAAAAATAAGGCAATAAAAATAAAAATAATTGAATTTACAACAGCAGAAATTAAAAATAATAAGCTTAATTGAAAGCCTATACTTTCTTTATTTCCAGGATGTACAAGCAGTGGAGGGAGTATAAAGCCAATTGCAATACCCAACTTTAAATTTGAAAGGGGAAATTATTTAATTTAAATAAAAGCTTTAGTAGGGAAGAAGGCTGGCGGATAATTGGAAATCTTCGGAATTCGGATCCGGTATCCGAACCGAAAATTTCCGTATATCCGGCCTTTCGTATCCGGATCCGCCAACCTTAGTAGGGAAGGAGAAGAATGTAAATAAGGGAGGGGGGTTGCTAAACGCGATTAACTGAAGCCAGAAACTAAATGATCGGTTTTAAACCGTGTAGAAAAAATTAAGGTCAATGGATCTCATTCTTTTGTCTCTTAATATTTTTTTACTAAAGTGTAACAAAGATATAAGGGAAGGGGGATTTCTAGACAAAAAATATTTTCCAGAACAGATGCCGGGTTCCCTCCCCTAAAAATAAGATTCAAACCCAACCAATTTGGACCCCTTTTAAATAAACTATTTATATATATATCCACCTGATTTCCAAAAACCCCAGCAGCACAGGCTGTAGATACTTGTTCAGGACCAAACCAAACAGCTGCCAGTCTTGGAGGAATTCCCAAAATAAAAACTTGGGAAGAGCCGACAATCTTTATTTAAATAAATTTTGATTAAATTAAATCCAAATTCACAGTTTGGGCAATAAATGTCAACCAAAATCTGTCAGGGGTTGTCGATAAAATTTTTAGCCAAGCACCAAAACAATTCCCAAAAGCACCAATCATAACAGACATTCTAAGGCCATATTTATCCAAAAACCAACTACAAAAATAAATTTTTGAAAATAATTTTTTTTAATTTTCCTTCACCTTCCAGGGAAAATCAAAATCTAAAAAATTTTTAATTATAAAAAAATATTTTTAGGGACCATATAAGTGAGCATATAAATCATTGATGTCCAATCTACAGTTGTATATTCAACATTATAATATGCGTGAATTATGTGTGCTATTATGCTGTATTCTGAAAATAAGAAAAAATTAAACGAGAGAAAATTGGTTGTCTATCCAAAATCTGTCTCTTTTGAAAATTGCACGTTTTGTATACTCTCTTATTATTTGTATGAATAACATCCGGAAAATTCCGGAAATTAAGTAGTGCTCCTTCTCTATTGTTTCCGGTTTTACATACACATAAAAATAAATGTGAGATACTGTATAAATAAAGGAGAGACATTCCGGAACAGACAAAATATTTTTCTTCTTATCAAAATTAATTTACCTATCCATTGCATGGCATTTGAGGCGGAAAGGAGAATAAACCTAAAAAATAAGATTAAAATTTTAATTTATTTTTTCTCCAACATTGTAAGCATTGCATATCGTCTCGAATAAATTTTTGTTCTTTGTTGTGAAGAATTTTCTGTTGTATCCAAAACTCCATTCGTAGTTGGATTAGTAGATCTTCCATTTTTCTCGATTCTTTTCTTTTGTTGTTGTTCTGTTTCTGTCAAATGGCGTTTTGCGGCTGTTTCTATATCACTTTCTTCATCTGTACTGGACATTTATTGTGAAGTTTTTTTGAGAGATAAATAAAATTTAAGAAATTTAAAGAATAAACAAAATGATAATTTAAATAAATATATGTAGGTAGTTAACTGAAAAATTAAATTAATTAAATTAATTGCTTTTAAATTTCGAAATAAATAAAAATGATGAAATGTAGGGGTAGATTTTTAGTCAGATTGGGTCAATTTCTCAAAAATGGTCAAATTTAAAATGAGTCAGTTTTTGTAAATCTAAAGGGATATATAAGCAAACTAAAAATAAAGCCCCCTCCCCCATTTACATACACTGCTCCACATAATTATAAGTCCACCCTTTTTTTCGAGATTTTTTCACTTCTACTGATCCAAATTTTCTGAAAATTCAGATACACACCTTTTAGTGAATAACTAATGAGATGTGTATAGATTTTTGGCTGATTTTTTATTTTAAAAATTTTTGGACCAAAATTTGCATTTTCGGCCTCCACAAAATTATAAGTCCGCTTTACAAAAAAGATATTTCCAATATTAGGAAAAATCTACAAAAATTCTAGCAAACAGACACAATGATATTATGAAAAAATAAAAAAGAACTAGACCCATATCTTTACCCGGAACCGAGATCCTGAAACCCCGGAAATCAACGTAAACCGGGGGTAAGGCTATTTAAAAAATTTTTTCGACCCCTTATGGATTGTTTTGAATTTTGATATTGGGCTCATTTGAAAGCCCTTGAAATTTGCTACAAGATCATCATAATTTTATTTTTCAGAAAAAATTTTACTGAGATTCACAAACAGTTAAACTTTTGAATCGACATAAAGGGCATTTTATGGGGTATTTTGCTGCATCAGAAAATTAATGGCCTGTATTTTTGTAATGGATTTTTCTATAAAACTTGATTAATGCTATCTTGTAGCAAATTTCAAGGGCTTTCGAATGAGCCCAAAATCAGAATTAAAAATAATCCATAAGGGGTCGAAAAATTTTTTTAAAGAGCCTTACCCCCGGTTTACGTTGATTTCCGGGGTCTCAGTATCTCGGCTCCGGGTAAAGATATGGGTCTAGTTCTTTTTTATTTTTTAATAATATCATTATGTATCTTTGTTGGATTTTTTGTAGATTTTTCCTAAACTTGGAAATATCTTTTTTGAAAAGTGGACTTATAATTTTGTGGAGGCCGAAAATGCAAATTTTGGTCTAAAAATTTTTCAAATAAAAAATCAGCCAAAAATCGATTCACATCTTGTTAGTTATTCACTAAAAGGTGTGTTTATAAATTTTCAGAAAATTTGGATCACTGGAAGTCAAAAAATCCCGAAAAAAAGGGTGGACTTATAATTATGTGGAGCAGTGTATATATGTATAAGCCCCCTTCCTCATTCTCATGTTTTCCCGTCTCAAATTTCAATGGTAAAACAGCAAATATCAGTTATAAATAAAGATGCCGTTATATCTTCGTACTTTCGGATTATAAATGATAGTGAGAGAGAGAGAGTTTGTAGACATTGAATTAAAATAGAAAAATTCCAGAAGATATCTAAATAAACGGATCTAAATTATTTTTTAAAAAATTAAGAAAAAAATTAATATATTAAACAGTCTAGAAGATAAAAAAATTTTTAAATCTTTTAAAAGAAAATTTTCAAAGTGGAACACTTAAAAATTATTTTTTATTTACTAAAAAGCACCGATTTTTTGTTTGTTTTTGTGTTAAAGTGTACCCAAAATTTTAAAAGAAATTTTAAAATAAATATATATATTTTTAGTTAAATTACATATTTCATTACAAATTTCAAAATTTTTTTTTGCAAAATTATTTTCTGATAAAATCAAAAATTCTAAAAATATACAATTTTGTCTGCTGAAATAGCTACTGTTTAGAAAAAGCTCTAATTCAATTCCTAAAGTTCAAGCGTTGGGGTTGGTTTCCGTAACATTTTCACTTACCAAAGACTATGCCACTGTTTTGGAACTATTCGTTAGCTTGCTAATATAAATTTCGATTTCCTAGTCCATTTTTAAAATTTACAGAAAAACCAACTGGATGTCCCAACCCAACTGGTTGTAAATCTCGAATCCAAAAATTTTTTGGAACCCAATCCCAAGCCTTAACTCCCAAAAGAATGAATCCTAGAAAAGTTATTTTCGCTTATATTTATATGAAGGCCAATTAAATTAAAATATTATTCTTTTATTATCATCAAATTAAAATAAAATAATAATTATTTCTACCAATTTAACCAATAAAAAAATCTAGAAAAATTCCAATCCTTAAGTAAAAAAATATTTTCTTTTTAGAAAAACATAAAATAAATTTAAAAAATAATTTTGTTATTCGTCAAAAAACAAATTTAAAAATAAATTGACAAAAAAAATAAATTTATTTATTGATATAATTGTATTTAAAAACGAAAAAAAGAAAATTATATGGAAGAAAAAAATAAAATAATGCTTTTTTAAAGCCAAAAAATTTATTAAAGAAAATTTGGTAATTTTTAATTGAAAAAGAATATTTTTGACTAAAAAAATTACGAAAAAATAAATAAATAAACATATGTATGTGGTACTTTAAAGGGAATAATAATAAAAATAATTTTTGTTGCCATAGCACTTTTTATATTTAAAAAAGGATTTTTGAAAATTAAAAAAATAAATTTATAAATTAAAAAATATCTTTTTTTCTTGAGATTTAATAAAAACCATTACCTTTTAAGAAGAAACAAGGTAAAAAAAAAATATAAGGAAACTTAAAAATACCAAAAAACCTCTTCCCACCCCCCCCTTAAAGGATTTTAAAAAATTATTTTTTTTAAATATTTTAATTGATTTTTATTAAAAAAATAATAGCGCGGACGCTTACTAATAGACACGTGAAAAATTGATTTGATGAATTTATGGACTGTTATTTTTTTGGATTTTCTATTCAAAAAAGAAAAAAAGAAAGGAGGGAGGGGGGGGGGATTTTATTATTAAAAATAATTTTTAAAAAAGAAACGATTTTCGAATTAAATAAAATATTTGTTCTTTTTTTATCAAACTACTAAAATTAAAGAGAGGTGATAATAGGAGATAAAAGATAAAAGAAATGAAGAGGAGATAAGAGAGAAAGAAAGGAAGTAAGTAGGTGTGACTTTTGGAAATTCTTTTTTGGAAAATTCCTTCTTTATTATCAAAATTAATTTTTAAAAAATTGATAAATATTTAAAAATAAAGAGGAATTCTTTGGGATAACGTTACTAAAAGTGTATTAATTAAATAATACTAACACACACATAAAAATCTTTTTAACTATCATTTTGAATAGATAACACAAATTTATTTGATGGGAATGGGCTGCGGATTTTAAAATTAAAAATACGGCTGCGGAAAAATTTTTCATTCGCGTCCGGCCTTGGTCTACAAAAAAAACAGAATAATAAACAAAAAAATTTAGAGAGTTATAAAATTATCTAGATTCAAAAAATTTTAGAAAGCAAAATTCTTTTTAAATTTTTATAAATTTATTTAAATTATTTTTGTATTTACTACTTAAACAATTTAAAATTTATTTTTTAAAAAAACTTGAAAAAGAAGAAACTAACAAAAATTGGTTAATGACTGTTTAGAGGGTCTCCTCTCTCCTCTCCCTCTCTCTCTTTTTAAAATTTTTGTTTACTTTTGTGACAAGCTGTAAAAGTTTTAATAAGCATTTACAAAAAATATTTTTGTTGATTAATATGTATATTTATTTTTAAAATAAAAATTAAATAAAAATTTATTTGATAAGTCGGTTAGTGATTGGCCACAGACCCTCTTTCTTTTTTTTTCTTTATCGAACATAAATAAATAAAATGTTAAACCACAGGGATCACTTATGGGGAGGTAACATACAAGAAAATTTAGTAAGCGCGGATTAGTTCTATTAGGGTTTTGGAAATATTTTTTCTGGATTTATTTTATCAAAATTATTTTGTAGGTTGTTTAGTTGGAAGGAAACTCTCGATGTAATTTTTTTAAATGCAAATCTTTTTTGTTTAATATAACAAATAAATATTTTTATATTCCAAATATCAGAATACCCAAATTATTGTATAAAAATTGAAAAAAAAATAATAAAAAAAGTTTTTGGACCGGAAATTATTTAATCGAAAGTTTAAAAATAAAATGAAAGGAAGAAAGAAATTGAAGAGAAAGAAAATCACATTTTAGCAAAAATCCATTGATAAATAGCTTAAAAAAGTGTGTAATTAATTTATTTTTCCTTTCATCTGTTGGCAGCTATTTAATTCTTTTAAAATACCTGGATAGATATATTTTTTTAGTTGTCAGAAAATGTTTAAAAATTTTTTAAATTAATTTTTTGCTAATTAAGAAGATCTTGAGTCTTTCGAGTTATAAATTACTTAACAATCATCACCAAAAAATTTTATAGTAAAAAATCAGTAATTCATATAGTTGAAAGACTCGATTTAACCTACTTTTTTCTTTAATCCCTTCGAATTCATTATATCGAAGTTCGATTATAGTAACCAATTGGTATAGGTTAAATGGTGTGAATAACCTAATTCTGTAATACCACTTTGGCGTTGATTAAAATAAGAAGTAGGTATCTTGAATTAAGGATTACCTTCTATTCTTTGCCAACAAAATTTTTAAAAATAAATTTAAAATTATCTGATTTTAAAAGTATTAAAATCCAAAGTATGATTTCAAATGAGAACACCAAAAAAATAAAAATAATTTCACATAAAAAATATTTAAATATAGTAGTTACAAACTTCCATTGGTACGGATTAAATGGGGTGGATAATAAATTGTTAAATAAATAATATTAATTCAAAACCAATAATTATTTTCTTCTTCAAAAAATTCATTATTAAACTCCTCTTCACCTTTCTCCTCTTTTTTAAATTTATTTCCATTATTAATTAAAGGCAAAAATGTTTCTTTAATTTTTTGTTCACCTTCTTCCTCCTCTTCATTTAATAATAAATGCGCGTATTTTTTAAATGAAAAATTGCTGATAAGGCTAGTTTCTGGTCGAAGTAATAATCGAACCATTTTTGTTGGAAAATGTTTATAATAAATTGTTTTATTGTTTTTATTAATTAAATAATCTAAAAAGGCGCAAAAATGTAAAGCCTGCAAAATTAAATTTTATTTTATTTTAAAAAGAGAGAGAGAGAGAAAAAGATTTGGGGGAGGGGGTTGGGGATTGCTGGTTTCAAGTCGGGTCTTTTTATTAACTAAACTGCTCATTTTTATTTTGGCAACCCTGATCAGAATTTTTCCTAGTTGTAGTTTAAAAAACGAGCTAATAAATTAACGAACAAAACTTTCCCCAGCCAGCTTAGCCGAATATGTACAAATATGTAATACAAGCGCATTCGCCAATTAGTGTGCGCCTTTTAGATACGACTTTTAAAATTTTTTGGGTACTGGATGAAAGAAGTTTCGTTCCCTAGGTGCTTCTTCAATTCTAGATATCCCCATTTTTAAATATTTCTTTAACCTTTAAGAGGCCCCCTACTCTCTAATAGTTAAACTCCAAATTAATTAAAAACTCCAATTAAAAATTACTTGAGCTTCTGGCCCTCCAATTATTGCCAAAAGTAAATATTCTTCAACTAATTTAAATGGAAGAATATTTAAATAAATTTGTTGTGAATAAAATAAAAATAAATGTAAAAGTGAAGGTAAATTAATTGAAGAAAGGAAGGGAATGAGGGGTTGGAATTGCTGAGATTTTTGGAGAAATGAAAGAATTAAAGGATATATTTTTGTTGTTAAATAATCTTCAAAGGAATTACTGTCTGAAGAGCGAATTGATTGGGGCCAAAAACATTCCAATGAAATTTTGCTTAAAAAACAAAAAATTTTCAAAACTTTCTTAATTAATAATTCTCTCCAAATGTGGCCAGAAAAAATTCTCTCCAATTGTGGCCGGGATATTTATAGAATCACAAAGAGTCATTGTGTATTCATCTGTTTAGTTTATAATTTCTTAACTGAGAGGTTAAATATTTAAGGGTTTTAAACATCCTGTTTAATATAATATATTTCAAATTTAACTAAATATAAATATGCATGAAAACTTAAGTAATATGCATTAATGAATTTCTTATGAAGTATTTTTGTATGTTAGAGCAATGCTCTGGCAAATCAGCTTTCTATTCGAATTAGTTAGAGAGTTGATTGGAATGATATGTCTTTGCTCTATCAGATCCGTATTTTTTAGATCATTACAATTTATAAAAGGCCAATTTGGTACCAACCGGGGGTAAAGGCAAGAGACAATTGGGAAAAACGTAAAACCCAACGCGAGGCCAAAATTTCAAAAATCAAAGAAAAAAGAATTAACAATTTTTGTTTACTTTTAAGTGAATATGAAAACAAAAGGGGCCGCTCAATCCTCATCCGGATTTTTCTTTTCCGGTACTCCATATTATTCCAAATTTTTTAATTAAATTTCCAAAACTCACTCACGGTTGAGTATAAATCTTTCAAGTAAATCAATTGTAGAATCCGAACACAGACCAGAAGAAAGAAAAACAGCGGACAATAACCAGTCGGCAGGAGGTGTTGGAAATGGAGTATTTGAAAACATTCGAAGCCCAAACATTTTTTTGCGGATTTGTGTTTTATTTTGAGCTAAATTTAAGGCCAATGCATAATCAGAAATTAATGGAAGCCATTCATTGTGTGGAGGCTGGAAAGAGAATTTAAAAATTGTTTTGTTTGGACAATGAATTCCTTAGATATATGTATATTTCCTTCCTCATATCCTTCCACACATAGTGGACCAAAATCGGAGTTATGGCTAAGAGTTATATCCCCCTAGTCTAAAAATTCTGTAATCTTTAAAGGAGTTCTTCCCGTAAAGAAATTAAAGATTCAATTTTTTAATTTCTGTGTGAAAAATTCACTTTAATAAATATCCCAAAAATTCATATACACTCGCGGTCAAAGTATAGCTCAAGGGGTATTCATTAAGGTTGGCGGATAGTTGGAAATCTTCGGATATCCAGCTCCGGTATCCGAGCCGAAAATTTCCGGATATCCGGCCTTCTTTCTGATCCGGATCCGCCAACCTTTGTATGCATTGACTATAATGATAATAAAAAATTAATTTTTAATTACACTTCCAATTCCCTTTTCGAAATATAAACTACTTTTAGTTAGCTACCTATAAGATAAACATAAAAATTTATGTTTTTTCCCACAAGTGAATATATTTAAAATTAAAAAAATCCTTAACAGGTCTTCTATTAATTTGTCCAGTCCTTCCATTAAAACTTTCTTTTGTCCAAAACTTCGTTGCATAAGCTTTTAAAATAGAAAATGGACGGAAACGCGAATTGTTGGCATTCTGCCATTTTTCTGAGAAAATACTTTTAATTAAACGAAGTCGATTCTTTTGGGTATCCTTATTTGGAAGTAAAGATATCCAATAAAGATGATCATCTTGTGAAGATTCGAAAATTCCTAAACTGAAAGCCCTTTCTGTTTTTTGCTTCCTTTCTTCGTTTTCCCCCAATAAGGTTGCAGATAAGTGATGTCTTTGTGATGGTAGAATATCTGGATTAATTTAAAAATTATTGTATACTTACCCCCTCCCCCCTCCCCTCACTTCCAAATATTTATATTTTTCGGCCAAATTAATTGAATGATACCGGGCTGAAATCTTTTACCTTATGAGGTATATTTATCTTAAATTAAGGACATCGCTCTGATAATCTCCCTAAAAAATGGCTAACCAAATTTTAGACTAATATTTAAATCTGTATGATATCTTTTTTATAGTGAAGACCCTCAATAATCTTTTTTTAAAAATTACCCAATTTATACGAAATATCATCGTCATTTTCATTTTCTATCCTCTCCTCGATCTTTTTCAAATATAAAGAATTAGGTATATCACTTATTAAACTCTCAATTTGTTCAATATTATTAAAATATTCAAATCGTCTATCCTCTCCACTTGCCAAAATTAAATGAGAAATAAATTCTGCTATTTTTTGTGCCTCTTTGCAAAAAATTAATTGGCCGTCAGTGTCAGTAAAAAATTTTCGAAGAAGCTTAAATTTATATTTAAATATTATAATATTGTTTGTGATTGGATAGTTAAAGGAATTAATTAAGTAGGGTAGCTGTTTTTTGAGTAGGACCGACATTCAAAACAATTTTTCGTCTTCTTTTAACCGTTAAAGGCTGTTGAGTATTTTATTGTTAAATATGTAACCATTTAATTAAAAAGGATCGTTCACAGTTTATCTACTAAAACACCCTTCTCTTTCTTGTAGATATTCTCTACTTCATTATTTAAACTTTCAAATATTCTCTTATTAAAATTCCAAAAATACACCTACATTAACTATTCTCATAATTAAATTAGGAATAATATGTTTAATTTCCACCAAAAAATCCAAATTAATACTAAATAAATCCAATTTTTCAATAAACACAATTAATTCCTCTTTTGTTGAATTCTTCTTCTGATTTTCAAATTCAAAAAATTTTCTTTGTAATAAATCAGAAATGTCAGAATTTTTAATTATTTCAATTAAAAGGGATGGTTGTGTTGCCAATATAAAAATGGAAGGAGAAAAAATTGAATTTATTTCCTCATTATTTGGTAAAAAATTTAGTCCTTCATGTTGAGGAATGTCTGCTTTTAAAGGGATTTTTTAATTTTATTTTTTAAAGTTTTACATTATCTACTGTATTTTCTATAAATTAAGACTTCTTTGGGGTGATCGAATAAAATAAATTTTGGGGATTTTTGAATGTTAAATTTCTGGATTTTTTTGAGGGAAATTAGTGTTTGTTACTCGTTCCCCTTCACCCGCGTTTAGATGAGGACAGAGAGGCCATTTTCTCCCTTTTTACCCAAAAATACCTCCCCCCCCTACTCTCCCGTTTTTGTTACTATCCTTATTAAGGGTTGCTAAAATGGACTGACTCGGACCGAAATATCGAGTCGGGCTTAGATCTTTGACCCGAAAAAGGCTCGTACCCATTTTAGAAGATAATTGAAAAATAAATCCCTGCTTTGAGAATTAGTGTCTTAAACCTTTACTCTATTTAATTCAAAATAAATATTTATTTCTCACAATAATTTTCATTAAATTCTTCTTCTTCATTTATTTCCTCATCCCCTCCAAAATCAGAATTAACAAAAAGAAATTTTTTCAATAATTTACTAGCTCCACGCCATTGTTCTTCATCCATTGGACGTACAGAAATTGGAAAATTAAGCAGAATAGAACTATTTTGGGAATCATTTTCCTTTTGTTTTAACCAAAATTGATAAATAATTTTGCCTAATTTTTTTCTACAAATTTTTAATTGGCCAAAATTTTGACTTTTTAAAAAACAAGGAGATAATAAAAGGTGTTTATGTGAAGTTATTGAAGGGTCGGGGTTTGGAATTAATGTTGAAATTAAATTTTGGAGTTGGTCAGACATAATGTGGCCAATTTCTGTGTTGGGAGAACACTTTTCTATGAGCAATATTAAAACCTGGATTGTAAAAAAATTAAAAATTGATGCAAAATCTATTCATCTATTCATAAAAATATTTCTAGCTTAATAATTTCATTAAAAGGTTTATCATGTTCGTGAGAGTATAACCGTTGAGACGTTTGTATATTAAATGAAATTGAGGAGGATGCATGTTAGTAGTGGAATATGTGTGAGGATAAGAGATTAAAAGATAAGGGATATAGGACAAAAAATAAGGAACTTAAGATTGCCAGTGTCAGCCAAAAGAAAAACCCGAGTTTTTGCTTCGGAGGTTAAAAAATTTGTATAAACCCACACCCCCTCCCCTCCCCCTTATTTCTAAAATTTTCACAGATTCTCCTACCTAACTCCTTTATCTCTCAAAAATAATTTTAAAAAACTTGCATTAATACAAAGTTCACGTAATTCAAAAGGATTAGTATTTCCCAAAGATGAGGTAAATAATTGTTTTTTCATTATTTTTGTAGAAAAATATTTGAGATATTCAATAATTTTTGTATTTAATTTTGGAGTTAATTTAAAAGAAAGTTCACAATGGGAAAAAATATTTTGAAGTAATTTTAATGGAAGAGATTCAAATTGAATTGAAATTTTTTGATTTAATTTAGTAATCATTAAATTAAAAATTTCATTTAGAAGGATAGACGAAATAATTAATTTAGCACCACAATCGCTCTTAAAAAATAAAATATAAAATGATTTGTTACGTCTATTAAATTAAGAAATACCATAGAAGTAGCCAACAATTCATCAACAAAAATTTTTCTTTCCCGATTATTCGATGGAATTGTTAATGCCAAATTTAAAAAATATATAACTTTATTGCAAAAACATTCTTCAAATTTAGACGGACTTGGAACTGTTTCGAGTAGAAATTCTTGAAAAGAAGGCACTCGAAGACAACGTAATATTAAGCAAAATTGAAATAACCATAAGTTGGGAGTTTCTTGTTGAGAAGAGTTGTTTTTTGAAGTCTTAAAATAAATATAAATTTTGATTGGTTATCCATTGGATGATGGGAGCTACCTAATGGATATCCCCCATATCTAAGATAACCCATGTTATAGGATACAAATCTTCAGCCATTAGGTTATCTTATAGTGAAGTCTGTTTGTATTTAGATGAAAAACAGGTCATATCCCATAAATCAAAATTAAAAAAAAAGAAAAGGAAACAATCCTTCCATATAGAAGTGAAGATAAATTGAAGCAAACTTACATTCTGCTCAGATTTATCTAGAATCTCAACAATCATTTCAGCCAATCTTGGTGTTGCCAGAGGCCTAAGTTGATAATCATATAACCAATTCATTAACCACTCAGCTGAAGGCTCTGCTTTTGCAAGGGTATTTAGAAAACTATTGCCAGAATTTAATCCTCCCTTAGAAGAATCTGTTTCAGAAGTAAGTAGTTCCATATAACTTTGCACTATTTGTGTTAAACTTTGGATGTCAAAATTTCGCCAAATATATGGACCGTTTGAGAATATCTGAAATCAGATGATGCATTGCTAAGAAAAAAAGAATCTCAAATTTTCTTAGAATATTATCCTTTATCCTCGAATATCCCTGTCAGAGTTTTCAGGTTCCTGTTTCCTTGGACCATGTATTTTTGATATAGATATCATGTTTAAAGTTTAACTCTGAAAACTCAACAATTATCTGGTTAAAACAGAACTCTTGAACAAGACCCAAAAGTTTCTTAAAGTCCCAAAAAGTTTATCCAAGTGTTGATGAATTCATATCATCTTGCGCTCACTGGCCTCCTTCTTTATCTCATTAAAATCCTCGGGAGATATCTTCATTTTATCTAATCTTCCGACCGACATTTTCGTTCAGCCTCTATTTTTAATAACATGCCTGAGAGAAGAAATATGCCAAATTACACTTTGCCGATTTGCTAAGAACATTTTTACGCATTACATTTAGTGCCACACGGCAAAGGCAAATCGAAGTTTTTTGCCATATTACAGCATCTCTACAGTCTTTTTAAATTAATTAATTAATTTTCTTAAAATTTATTTTACTCAAAATTCTTCCAATTACACTCATTGTATCGTCAAACAAAGCTGGAACAAGTAATAATGAATGCAAATTTCCAAGAAAAAGTTCAAAAGCTTTGGATCGAGAGAGTGTTAAAGGCGAAACAAAAAGTAGTTTTCTCATATTGACTTTTCTTTAATTAAAAATTTTTTCCCAATTATTATGTACAAAATGAATATAAAATACGCTCTTGGAGCTGAAAAATGTACCCTATAGATATTTAAGGGTATTTATTGGGTATACGGTATAGTTATATCCAAGTTTATAAATCAAAACCCCATAAGAATGCCAGAAACGTCTTCAAAGTTACATGTGGAACCTCTCGGAAATTCTTCCAACTACCCCCCCCCTCCTCTCTACTTCTCCTTTACCTAGCTCCAATTTCAAGATCATCAGCAACAATTAATTCAATAATAGAGCATATTTCCTCTTCTGGCAAGTCTTTTACAGAATTATCTAATAAAGAAAATCCACTCAAAGCTAATTGCTGAGTCTCTTCTTCTTCTTGAGCTTCGCCAATTTGTTTACTTTGAGAATCATTTGCATAAGTACTGGAAAATGAATGAAAGCTCCATTGACGAGGGAGTGCAAAACTCTTAAAAATTTGACTTTTTAAATTTCTTTAGTAATTTTAGAATAGAAAATTATGTATTATTTTCGATTTTTAATACAGTCATGCTTTTATTATTTAATTTGATTTACCAGTTAGTCAGAGGGACTTCTAAGCTACTACATATAACCATAATAAAGGACACAAAAATTTAAGTATAAATTTTTGGCACCAAGAATATTTTTAATCGCTTGATAAGATGATTGAGCTTCGACTGTATATAACCCAAAGGATTGTGAATAACTTAACCACCCAGTTTCAAACAACATAAATAAAAACTTACCTCCATTGAAAAACTACTAGAACGTCTTCTTGTTCCTCTTTCAGTTTTTGCCATTTGTGAACAAATTTTAATTATTTTAAAATGAAATTTTTTGTAAATATTTGAATTATTAACTAAATTAAAAGCAATTGATTGTAACAATCCAAAGGATTTATTAAATTCATTTAAATTTTTTGTTTCCGTTTCTGTAAACCATAAATCCATACTTGTCCCAACTTGCAAATTATTATTGTTTTCATTTAAAAGTTGGAGAGATGGGGATAATCTTTGAAAGATTTAAATAATTTTTTTGATAAATTAGAAGAGGTATATTTAGTAGGGTTGGGGGCCCGATCCGGCCCGGTCGGATATCTAGTCGGACATTGAATTTTGAATTTGGCCAAAATTACTAATTATTAGGTTTGGGGTATTATTGGGTATATTATTATAATTACTAATTATTTTGGCCAATTTGAATTTTGGCCCGAAAAAATGACTCGAACGTCGGCCCGACTCGAAAACCCCAACCCTAATAATTAGTAATTTACTCCCCATTGGTGCTATTTAGAAATTTCGATTTTTGAGGTTTCTCTCTTTCAATTTTTGAAAATTTTTTTGTTTCGAAACAGCTTTGCTTCCCGTCTCCACTGATAACAATACCTTCTCCCTTCAACTTAAAAAGTTGAACCGAAAAACTGAAAAAAATAGGGAGTGAAAAAGATTTTAGAGAAAAGATCAAGTTAATTAAAGGTACTAAATACTCAACAAAAAATTTTGATATTTTAGTAATTATTTTTAATTAAATTTACTAACACCAATTTTTACTTACCTATTTATTTGTTTATCAATTTCCATTCTCATTTCAAAACTTAATTTTTCAACTAAAAAATCAACTAAAAATGTTGAGAAGCTTTCAGAATTATTTGTTTTTAAACAATTTTTAAGTAAAATTTTTAAACGTTGTTCATCCATTTTAAAATAATTTTAGACAAAAATTTGTTAGGAAAAATAAATTTAACAAAATATTTTTTTATTCAAAATTTAATGAAAAATAAAAGAAAAAGGAAAGGAAAATTACATATTTTTATTTAAAAATTGTTCTTGAAAAATATTCCTTTTTATTTTCTAAATTTTTTGTATATTTTTTCAATAAACCGTTGCTAAGGGAATAAATAAAAAATTTATTAAATTGTTATATTTTAAATATACTATAACCTTTTTTACCTATAACCTTTTTTTAAAATTATGACAAAGTTGAGGGGAGGTTTTGAAAAATTTTTTGAAATTTTTTTTATTTAAAAATTTTTTTACAACAAAATTGCCTTTAAACTTTTCTATTATATGATTGAAATGAACATAAATTATGATAGAAAAGTCTGAATTCTTACAATATTATAATTATTTTTAATCTTCTAAAAATGGTTCCCGTTCAATAAAGTTTATTAAAAAGATTTGAGAAAAAGAGATTTCCTATTTTTAAAACTTGATTAAATAAATTTTTTGAACATAAGAAATTGAATCATTTAGAAGACATGAAAATGATTATGATAGAAAAAGATTAAGAATATTTTTTCAAAATTTAATAATTTTGTTGACAAAATAATTTAATTAATTACATATGAATAGTTATGCTTAAAAATTGAAAAAAATTTAAAATTTAATACAATTAAAGAAAATTTAGAAAATTTCTTAAGAAAATTTTATATTTTAAAATAATTTTGGTAATTATCTGCGGCTCGTCTTAAAAATTCTGTTGAAATTTAATGAATTCAATAAAAAACATAATTGTGTGCCCGGAGGTTGGGTCAAACCTCAACCTTTGCTCAATAGGGTCTAATATTAAACAACTGAACTACGCGAGCACACATTCGACTCGCTATAAAATATACTATCTGTTTTTTTTCTTTTTATTTCATTCTCCATTAGCCCACAAATAATGTTGAAAAAAAACACTGACGAAATAAAAAGAGAAAACAACGGAATATTTGAAAGAGACCAGCTGTGTGCTCGCGTAGTTCAGCTGTTTAATGCTAGAACCTGTCGAGGCAGGTTGGGGTTCCCCTGACCTTCGGGCACGCGTTTATTTTATAATCAGATTCATAAAAATCTCGAGCAAATATCTTTATGGAATATTAATGAAGGTTTAACTCAATTACCTATCTAAATTTTATTTTTTAAATTACTACAAAAACATATTTTTTATAAGACGATAAACGAAAATTTTTAAATTTAATAAAAATTACTGCTGTGCCCGAAGGTTGGTTAAACCCCAACCTTTGCTCAACAGTGTCTAACATTAAACGACTGAACTACGCGGGCACACAATGCATCTTTTTTAAAACTGCTGTTACTATATCACTTTTTCTATTTTCTTATTTTATTTTGTAGCAATGACAGAATATTCAAGAGAAAACCCAATGTGCTCGCGTAGTTCAGTCGTTTAATGCTAGACCCAGTTGTGCAAAGGTTGAGGTTCGACCCAACCTTCGAGCACATGGTTAGTTTTTTAATTCATAAAATTTTTAACTTAATTTTAATAAAAATATTTTTGGATAAAGCTACAAACTAAAATTTTTAAAATCGTATATACCTAATTTACAATCAAAAAGTGCCAACTTACAGGACTATTTAGTAATATTAAAATTTAAAACAAATTTAACAAATTAAATTTAAAACAAATTAACACAATCCATTTTTCTAAAAAGATTATTTATGCTAATTGTTAAAATTATTTTTTACATAATTAAAAATAGGTATATTTAGTCGAAATAAAATTACACAAAAGTAAAGATTTTAACAAAAATTTCAACACCTTTTAATTGGAAATATTTTAAAAAATCTTTAAAAATATTTCGACTAATTGTAAGAATACGACGGAATGGCAGAAAAATAATTTGTATATTTAATATATTTTAAGGTATTTTTTAATAAAAAGGTGATTGTTTTTTTTTGGTAATAATTAATTAGCAGTCACCGGATTTTTTTTTCTTTTAAAATAATTAACTTTCCATTTTTTCTTCTTAAAAATATCTTCTTATTAATTTTATTCACATTTTTCTTATCATTCCGCAACTGGAGTCGGAGTAGAAACACAAGAATTATGGGTGTTATTGTTGACAGAATAACGTATAAAATTGGGAAAAAATAATTAGAAAATTAATTTTAGAGAAAAATAAAAATTTTGGAGAATTTTTATTTAAATTCTATATTAATTCAAAATGTCATGGAACCATCCCCTTAATTTTTATTTTTAAATATCTACCTAGTCGGCCGGTCAGCTTCTTCCATACTGCTAAAAATATTTTTTAATTAAAAAATAGATTATTGCGAATTTACCTGCTAAGAGTTCGTTGACGTTCCATTCCAGGAATCGGAACACCAGAAAGAACACCGCAACCCTTACATAACAAAATCAATGAACGAGCAAGATTACTAGGCTAAATTAAGAATTGTTTGATTAAAAAACAAAAGAAATATACCGCTTCTTGAAGAATATCACAAACTCCATCCACCACAAGAAGTGTAGTCTTCTTCTTATTCATTCCTTTATGCATATGATAAACTGACTAAAATTAACTGAATTTAATATGGAAATTGTACAAAAAAGGCTAAAAAATTTTAATTATTGTGAGGCAGAAAAAGGGAATTTTCTGACCAAAAGTATTTAAAAAATATTTTTGTTATTTTCTACAACCGAACTACCGTATTTACTCTGGTAATTCCCCAGGGGGATTATTGTTTCAACCCATCTCTAGGGTGGGGAATTAATAAAGACTGGGGAATTAATAAAGACTGGGGGATTACTAGAGTAAATACGGTAAATACCAAAAGGAATAAAAGAAACCCTCTCACTCTCTAACTTGTAAAAATTTTATATTTTAACCTGAAGATGTGGCGATCGCGATCCGGAAACCATCAAAACATCCATACTTTAAAATTTTTTAAATAAAATAATTAAAAAAAATACTTGTCCAATTTAGCACCAATAATTCCAGAAAAGTCCGTTCGCTTGCTAAAACTGTAGAGGTATTTACTTAAATTTCGAGCATTTATCGCATCCTTCAATTCATCAATATATTGTTGCTTCTCATGTTTATCACTCTGAAAATAAAAAATAAATTGAAAAATATTTTTCAAAAATTAACCGTTCCAAATTTATGCATCATTAAATAGTCCCAAGCGCCTGAAAATTATATTGAAAAGTAATTTTTTCAAAAAAACCTTGTGTCATAACACCACTCTCCAGTCGCAAATTCATAAGCATATCTTTGAAGTATTCAATAAAACCAGCTGAAAATAAAGAATTTAAATTGGAGATGAAGAAGATAGGATGATTTAAGTGATTGTATCATAATCAAGAATATTTTTGGAAAAATCAAACACTAATAGAAATATTAAACTACACAAATTTGGCCTGAAACTAATCTCTTTGGCTAGAGACCAGGAGAAGTGGTTCAAAAACAAAGAACCAGACCAGAATTAAAAGGGGACAGGATCCTCGATAAATTCAAAACTTAAATGGTTACTAATACCCCAAAAAAATTCTAAGAAAAATACCAGTCGTCGAGGTGCAATTAACCAAAATAATCCCCATTATACGATTTGGCCAGACCAATGCAAATCTCGAAATAATATTAGCACCAGCTCCTTCGCCGAAAGCAATACATGTGCGGACATCAACCTAAATATTCAACAAATTTGATAAATTGATGAAAATAAACCTCGTCGAGAACACAAACCAAATCCTCACCAAGCTGCCCAAGCGAAGGAAATCTCAAATAAAAATTATTTTAGAGACCATTTCAACTCTTTTTGTTATTTGCTTTCCACATTTGGGTATAGCAAATTCCATTTTGCTTAATCGGTTAAGCCTCTTTTTGATTTTTCTCAAAACCGTCCTATACCCAATTGTTTGTTTATATTTTCTATTGCTTTGTTATTCTATTTGTTTTGAAAAGCGCTTTTGAAAATAAGCGCATTACCATCCAAAGTATAATTGTGTGTAAATACCTGAATTTACTAAAAAACACAATTACTAAACAAATATTCAAAAAACAACAAACTTACTCTGCAGTAAAGTCTGGAGCACTATCTTCCTGTCCTGGAACACAAACATGCAAGAAAATAGCCCTTTCCTTTACACTTTCCATTGAAGGATGATTGACAAAACGAATGAAAGATTTGTGATTTGTTCCGACATCGTGAACTGTCAGAATGACCTAAAAAAGATAATAGGAAACTTTTTAAATTTAACTCTTACAGTTTTTCCAAAGCGCTCATTCAAATCTCCTTGAATATAGACTTGCAGAGTGGAATATTTGCCCTAAAATAGAAAAATTGAGATAAGGTAAAATTTTTCAATCCTAACTGTTTTAATGAATAAAGACTTAAGTTTTGTTGTTTGTGGGTTTTTATGAAACGGATACCTTGCAACAGAAATTAAAAGTTAAAAATTATTTAAAATTTCGGTAAAGCTAGGACATGATAACCAGGGGGCGTATTCTAAGAAGCGGGTAGGAGTACCTGGTAAACTTACCAGGTTCTTCCTACTCGAGTAATAGAACCTCGAGCTGAGGGTTGGTCAACCCGCAACCTCGTTCTTAGAATACCACCCCAAGTAAATCAAGGCCAAGAAAATTATAGTCCCAGTCAAAGAAAATTCAAAAAGAGGTTAAGCCTAGGATTTAACCTGACAAATTAATAAATAGAAGATAGTGAAAAAAAAAACCCACCTTCACAGAAATCATCTGAAAAAATAAAATTACATTTTTAAACTTAAATTTTTTGAAATTTACCTGAACGTTCTCATTCTCGGCCGACATTTTGATTACTTTTAGTTAAATAATTTTGATTAAAAAAAGAATTTTTAATAAATAAGCCTTAAAAATAAAAATAGATTATGAAGAAAATAATAAGAAATCCCGCAAATTATTTTTATTAACGTGCATTAAAAGTCAAAAACATCCTAGTTCCGTGCACAATACTGCACAAAAATAAAAAAAATAAAAATAATAGTTAGCCCAAAGTGCGCCCTTTGTACTAAGGTTAAGTGAATGAGGAGGCTGTCAATAATAAAGAAAACATTGGGCATGCGGGTAGGGTCGTTTAGGCGCCTATGGTTTGGCAACAAGGACGTTTTTGTTAATAATTAATTTTGTTCTTAATTGATTAGAGGAATTATTTTATTATTTTAAAGCCCTATATCTGAGAATTTTTTTCAAAAAGAAACTGAAACTAAGTAAAAGAAAAAAATGTCAAATAAAAAACCCGACGCCAAAACCTGCACGCCGAAACGTTGTTGGAGTGTGCCCAGCTAAACCTCTTTTTCTTCTTTTTATCCAGTCAACACACTGGACTAAAAAGAGATAAACAAACACCCTTCTTTTTAAAGTAAATCAATTCTTTTGTTAAATATTTTCATTGGACTGGAACTGACTGAAATATTTTTAATGTTTTCTCAGCTGTCGCGCGGCCATATTTTATTTTAATAGTTTAAATGGTCGTATGACAATTTTGATTGTTTATCATTTTTATTGGAAGTTTGTGTGGAGATTTATAAAAGATGAAATTTAAAAGAGAAAACATGAGATTGTTGCATAAAAATCATAAAAACATTTTCGTTACGGTCGGGGATTTCCTTTTTTTAAAGGAACAATGTGGGGGGGGGGGGGGGGTCCAAAAGCTTCCTTTGGTAATAAGCCAAATTATTTAGGAATGATTTAGAACACTTTTTGCCCTCTTTAAACTAAGAAAAAAGATATTGAGGAGTGAAGTAACGGACATGATCCGAACCGGTGGCCGTTGATTCCAAGACGCAACCGAAAAAATTGGAAATAGAAATTTTTTCGAGTGTAGAAAGGAAATACATATACGGCGAGTACATTTTAACATGTCCACAAATATTCTTTGTCTGCCATTGAAATTTAATCTCCTCACGAGTTTGATTTTTATCGAAGATTTTTTGAACCGAAATAAAAATAATCTTTAATCGGCTGCAAAAATCCATTTGTGAATACTAAAAAAATGAAATAACATTTTGTTTGTCAACACTACTTAGTACATTCAAAGTACTCGTACAGTCATAGAAATGGAAGTATTAAAAGTGAGAGGAGTAACTAAACTAAATTTACGTGAAAATAAAACTAAAGGAAAGCGGGTATTAAAAAAGTAAAAATAGTAAATCGAAAAGAAAACATGTGATTAAAGAAAATGTGTAAATTAAATTTAGTCGTTAAGAACTTTGTTGAAAAACAAAAAATAAATGAACAAAAATTGACAATTTTACAGTGACGTTTTCAATTATTTTTAACTGCTGGACATTTTTAAAAATGGTCATTTTACAAAAATTTTCCCTTTTTGACATTTTCCCTATTAAATACATTTTGCCAAAAATCATTTTTTAAAAAAATATTAAAAATGACAAAATATCCCTTCACAAAAAATTTATTTTAATTTCGACCTTTTCTGATTTTTAATTTTTATTTTTTCAGTTAATTATCAAAATACTTACTACATCCCACCAATGTCTTTAAATAATTTTGATTCGAATGGAAAAAGAAGAATTTTGCTCAATGAATGCAAAAAAGTTTATATTCAAAGAGATTACAGTCAAGCGCTTATTATTCGTTTTTCAACAGAATTTCCTGAAGAACTTGAAAATTATGTTAGTTTTTTTTTTAAATTTTTGACATTCTAAGGGATCGTTTCCTTCCCCTATTTGATTGCCTGTATCTAATCTAGAACTATTTGGGTTCGTCAGCAGTACTGGTCATTGGAGGTTTGTAACTAGGTTCGGGTCTTCTTTCAAAGATTGGCACCGTTTCCATCTCCGAGTATTTTAAAGATTAAGCTTCTCGCTTGCTCTCGGAACTTTGTCTAATTAGAATTTCTAGTCGAATGGAATAACCTTTTTTAATTTATTTTTAGATAAGCAGACAATTATGGACTGAATTTATTAATAATTTAAATCAAATATATTCTGATGCAGAAAAGCTCTCCTCTAGAGCTTATGCAGAAAATATAATCGCTTTATTAACATGCCATCTTTCTCGTCTTTGTTTTAAATCTTTTTGGACGAAAAAATTGGAAGAAGCAGAATCTTTAATTGATGAGGCTAATCAACAACATTTTGTTAATGATGGAGTTTATGTTGGGAATCCGTTGGATAAAGGATTTAGAGTGGTATATTTATTTTTTAGAGCTTTACTGGAATTTTTTCCGTTAACAACTTTTATGGGTAAAATTGAATTTCGTATACCCTCTTCTTTTTTCTTCCTCAAAGTATAAAAAAATGGTCAATCAGTCTTAGGTTAATGGAAAAAAATTTCGGGAATAAATGCATAAAAGATAAAAATTTCATCCATTTTTCCTTTTATGTATTTAATTAAAATTTTCCATAAAACGTTAATGAAAGGTGAAAGACAATAAGAGTCTCTTGTCAATGTCTGGGATTCAGGCCCGTAGCCAGGATTTTTTTTCGGGGGGGGGGGTCAAGGGGGGAAAAATTTTTATTTTCAGCGCCGCAGGCGAAAATTTTGAGAATTTTAGAAGGCCGTAGGCCAAAAAATTCACTTTTTTTGCCCCAGCCCTTCCCCAAATTTTTCCCTTTTCCCCATTTCGGGGGGGGGGGGGGGGGGGAATTCCCCCTGGCTACGGGCCTGCCGGGATTAATCCTTCCCATGTCAGTACATTAACTTTAGTATCCGTTTTCAGATTTTAAAAATAACTTTGTTTTGAATAGACAGAATGTCCTTCTAGACAGGACCAAAATTTACTTTACTTTTAGATAAATTTAACTTTTTTAAAGATTGAAGTTGTTTTGCTAGACGAACCTTTTGCTGTTGGTTCTGGAAAGGCTGATAAAGATGCTATTTCTACACCAGTTCAAGGACTTCAACCTCGGTGACAACTTAATCCCCAGAAATGACCAAATCATAATATTAAACAACCATTTATAAATAAGAATTTTAGAGTAGAATTATTGCATTCATTCCATTTTTGTATGCTTACAAAAATTTATTTTTTTTGGAAATAAATATTTTTAGACATTTTTTGTTTTTAATTTAATGATGTTTTATTGGCTTTTTTTTATTTTAAATTGATTAATTTTGATTATGTTTTTAAATTTAATTTAGATATAGTTTGTAGATGAAAGCGCGTACATAATTTTAACTTTTTCAAAATTTAGAATTTTAAATTTTTTGATGACAGCAAAATTTGGTGCTCGTTTATTAAATGAAAATTTGTCTTTAAATGTGTCCAAAAATGTTGATTTTCTTGGTTGGTATAAACAGGTTTGTTTTTTCTTTTAAATTTTATTTACATTTTTTTAGTTGGTTACAAAGTCTGAATTAATTGATGATTATAATTTGCCCGGATTTTATATTTTGCGTCCATATGCTTATTCAATTTGGAAGTCGGTGCAGAAATACATGGGAGAACGTTTCCAAGAGATTGGAGTGAAGAATATTTCTTTACCTTTATTTGCCCCTTTTATGGATAAATTGGAAGAACGCTATGAAGATTTGTTTCCAAATGTTTGTTTTATTTTTAATTTTTTAAAAAATCTACAGAAATTTTTGGGAGCCTTAACTGATATAATTTTTTGCTCGAATGTCTGATTGGTTTATTTTCTAAAATATGTTGCCCAACTCTTTATTCAATAATTTCTGTTTTTAATTCTATTTCAAATAGACTTCTAGGAGGCGAGGTTATATTTGATGCTATATGTAGGACCTCACTTCAATAAATTTCATCTTTTTTTTATGAATACATAAATTATATATATTTATTTTTATTAAATTAATTTTTAGATTTTAGACTTATTTTCTCACACATGCTGGTAAAGATCCAATTAAACATTCAATTGCAATAAGGCCAACAAGTGAATCTTTAGTTTATTCAGATTTTGGTAGATGGTGTAGATCTTGGCGTGATCTCCCTTTTAGAATAAATCATTGGTCTAATGCTTTAGTTTGTTTAAAAATAAATTTTTACAATTTCTTTCTTAATTTCAGAGATGGATTGAAAACCCAATTCCATTTATTTATAGCAGAGAATTTCTTTTACAAGAGGGTTATAGCGGCTTTACTAATAGAGAAGAATCAATTGATGAAGTTTATAAAATGCTAGATATTTATAATAATATTTATAGTGATTTATTTGCAATTCCTGTTTTGAAGGGAAGAAGATCAGAAAAAGGAAAATTAAAAGGAAGTGATTTTTCTACATCAATTCAAATTATCGAACCAAACAATGGAATTGGAATTCAGGTTTTTCACTTTTTTAGTGTTTTATTTATTTTAATTTTTGGACTCTCGTGGGGGAATCAAGACGTTCATTCAGTTAATGTCCAAAAATTTGCTAACATGTGACCTCTTTTAAAGCTTATAGAAATTAAAATATAAAAATATTTTTGGTTTTTTATTAGGGTAGTCTTGATTAGACGGTAAGCGTCGGAGTTAGACGTGGGAGGGGTTCAACTTTAGTTTACGTACTAGGTCGTTTCATAAAAAAGTTCGTTTTTTTCCACAAAGGAATTTTCTAAGAAAAATCGATAAATCACTAACAAAATCAAACAAATAAAAAATCTAACTGAACTAAATAATTGCCCCGAGTCTTAACAACATTTTTAAAACAAAAAAGACGTTTATGGTTACCCCTTTTAAAAAAATCTGACCCCATTTCTGAAGCACTGTCTTCCCCACCGCAGTCTCGACCTTAGCGTCTTCTTTCAAGTACCCTTCCCGTAAAAAAATTTTTAGAGAAGTGAAATGATGTTAATCTGATAGAGCAGACTCAGGGCTACAAGGGGGGTGGGGTAACACTTTCCAACAAAGTTTATTTGGGGTATGGCAGGTCGTCAAAAATGAGCGGAGTAAGGGAGCGTTATTTTAATGGAAAACCAGAGGTCTAGTAAACAGTCCCTGGTGACGTTGAAGGTAACAAACGAAATCTTCCTGGGTGAGTTAGTTAATATGCATGTTGGAGTTTGTAGTGGTACCAATTTGAAGTACCTCCGTCATCAACGGACCGAGCACCATCCAAAAGAATACACAACATACGTTTTTTGGGTAGTTGGTTGGGCGGGGGACCAAAAGAGAGTCTTAATATTTTTTCCTCCAAACAATTTTTGTATATTATTATCGTAATTGGCATATGTTTCAACTTAGGTAACAATCCGGTTACATGAACAACCCTTTCGATAGTTATCCAGGCTTGAAAGGCAAAAAAAAAGTCCCTGTTGTTTTTGTCTCCCAGTCGGTTGGTGCATTATTCTTTTTGTCCTCCTCGGCTCACGATCCGTTTTTTTCGACACTTGCTATATCGTACTTATAGAGCAATGTCCCTCCCCGCTACAATACTATCAAAAAAATATCCGGATATCATTCTAACCTACGAGCAAGGACGCGTTTGTTTACAGTCGGTCGTCTGCACGACCCATGTTTGTGTTTGGGCCTGCTGCTCCCCGAACAAAATTTTTTCAAAAATTTTTGAGCTGCACTAGGCTAGAACACTTCCCTGCCTAACGTTTCATTAATTTTTCTTGCTTCCAACATTGCATTATTACTTTGTTTTAATGCGATGTGTAAATGCTTCTGAATATTAACTCTACCCACGCTCACTTCTAAAGGTATAAAAATTTTTCGGGCTTTTCTATTTTTAAAATTTTAGCATGATTATAAAGCTAAGATTCAGGGCTACAAAATAAGATAAAAATAAAATCTGATAAAGATAGTTATCACTCTGAAAATAAGTGATAACAAAAAACGAACTTTTTTATGAAACGACCTAGTACTTTCGATTCCACAAAAATTAAATTCCCCTTTGCTATTTCTCCATTTTTATTAAAATTTAAAAATATATATTTAAGGCTGCTTCATCCACTCATTTGGGTCAAAATTTTTCAAAAAAATTTTCCATTTATTTTGATAATCCAAAAAATCCAGGAGAGAAAGAATATATTTGGTTAACTCGTTATACTTTATCTATTCGTTCAATTGGTGCTTTAGTTATGACTTTTGGAGATGATTTTGGGTTGATTTTACCTCCTAAATTAGCTCCCATACAAGTTTAATTTAAATAAAAATTTTTTCAAAAATTTATTTAAAGGTTGTAATTATTCCTGTTGGACTTGATAATTGTAAAAATGAAAAGGATAAATTTAATTTAATTAAAAATATTAAATTGATTAATGAGAAATTGAATGAAAATGGTTTACGTGTTGAAATGGATATTCGAGAGGAGGTATTTAATTTTTTTAAATTAAAATTTTGGGTTCATTTTGAGAAAATCCTTCTTTTAAAAAAGATTCAAAAAAAACCTCCAAGGGACGTGAAAATCCCATAAGTAAAGATTATTCTCGATTTGAGACCGAACCAAAATTTCGTTCAAACATCTAATCTGCCATGGATTTTGCTAGATATCGATCTTGATTTTCTTGATCGATTCTCAAATCCTGTCTTTTCTATAGGGAGGAGGGAGACTTTCAGACAGAATTCAATCCTTATTTTATTATTGTACAATAAAAATATTTTTTTTAATTTTTATGTTTCAAATGAAGACAAATCTGACTATTGGAAGGTTTATTGCAGCTTTTTTTTTAATTTAATTTTTTATTTTTAGTTAAAAGGAGTGCCAATTCAACTTGAAATTGGGCTAGAGAATTTAATAAGCCGACAAATACCCTTAAATGTTCGTTTTTATAACGAGAAATGTATTCTTTGCTTGGATAATTTAGCTGGGGAATTGAAAGTTTTACTTGAAAAAATTCAAAGTGATATGCTTAAAATGTAAATTTTTTTAAAAGATAACTAATAAGGTGCTCCTTTAAAGGATCGGGTATATTTAAAATAATTACACTTTAAATATATCTATTAATTTTCTACTAGAAAAATAAAATCTAATAAAGGGAATTTCTTTAAAAGGATCTCTCTAATAGAAATCTAGTAAAATGTTCTCTAATAGGAGAGTCCTTGCATTTAAAAGCACTGTTTGAACGAATTTCTTAATTTTTCTAGTAATATACATAAGACCCTTTTTAGTAAGGGGACTCTTCAGGGTGATGGGCTTTAAATAATTTGACATTTTTTAGAATAATTGTCGGTTTTTAAACTTTTGGGGTCACTTTAGTACGTGGGTCCCGGAGTTAATATACAAATGTTATACCATTCGAAAGAGCTAGTCGAGCTGAGTCGAATGACACCAGTTTTAGCCCGAGGAAAAATTTTTGGACCGAGATATAGGTCCCCGAAATTTGAAAAAGCATAGGGGGGACCAAGCACTTTTTTGGGGTGAAAAATTCGAAAATGCAAATGATACCTCATTCGAAAGAGCTCCTCGAGCTGAGTCGAATGACACAAAATCAACGAAATCTGACTTTATTTGGCCGAGTTACAGACACCCGAATTTTGAAAATTTTTTGGGTCAAAAAATTCGAATATGAAAATTATACCTCATTCGAAAGAGCTCGACAAGCTGAGTCAAATGACACCAAAATCACCGTGATTGAACAAGATTAGACAAAGTTATGACACAAAAAACAAAAAAACCTAAACCTACGGAGCGTCGGCGAGGCGCTTGTGCAAAACCCCGCGCTTCGCGCGGGGTTTTGCGGCACGCGCCTCGCGGGGAGTCTACGGGTGCTGGGTCTGGGCTTGTAACATAAACCTATTCCTATCTCCCTTGCTCTGGACGTATTTGGGGCCTCCGTAGCAGCAAAAATCTCCGCAGATGCCATAGGTAAGGAGCTAAAATAAAAAATCATAACTTTGTCCAATCAAGTCGGATTTCGTTGATTTTGGTGTCATTCGACTCAGCTCGAGGAGCTCTTTCGAATGAGGTATCATTTGCATTTTCGAATTTTTCACCCCAAAAAAGTGCTTGGTCCCCCCTATGCTTTTTCAAATTTCGGGGACCTATATCTCGGTCCAAAAATTTTTCCTCGGGCTAAAACTGGTGTCATTCGACTCAGCTCGACTAGCTCTTTCGAATGGTATAACATTTGTATATTAACTCCGGGACCCACGTACTAAAGTACAGCCAAACTTTTTCTTTCTAGAAAAATAAAAGAATTAAATAGCTGCATCGAAATGTGTCTTGATTGGGAGCTTTTTATATCAAAATTGGAAAGACATTCAATTTTACTTTCGCCTTTTTGTGGACATTTAAAATGTGAAGAATCGATTGAATCAATGTTAAATTCAAAAGGAATTAATTCAAAACTATTAAATATTCCGTTTGAACAACCAAAAGATTATTTTGGCAAAAAATGTATTAATCCAAAATGTAAAGAAAAAGTGGAGTTTTTTGCTTTATTTTGTCAAAGTATTTGTTAAAAGAAATTTTTCTGTTAATTTTTCTAAAATATTTTCTTTTTAATTATTAAAAAAAAGAAGATTATTAATTAATAAATTATTAAATAAGAAGAAGACAAAAATGATAACAAATTTTTTTGGTAATTAATAAATTGTCTGTTTGGCCTGATCGCCGCTATCTTTTCTTACATTTAATCAATAAAATATTTTTATTATTAAAAATGGTGGTCATTTTTATTTTTATTTATTCACATTTTCTCTACAACCCTTTTAGTGACATTCTCTTAAATAAATATATTTTTCTCCTTTTTTTGATATCAAATTCCGAAAAAAGAATGCAAAAATAAACAGAATATTTTCTCAATGTCCTAATTTTAAGGCCACATTTTTGGGAATAAAAAGTGTGAGTAATGTTTTGAAAGTTATTTGTTAGTCAGACTTGTACAACATCACACCTTCCCGCCCGATACTCGCATTAATGTCAGATTTTTCTGCACGGGAGAGGTGTCGTGTCATACAAGTCCAACTGTAATACCAAAAATCACTTTTTAATTACTATTATGAGATAGTTTTTATAAATTTATTAAACTTTCTATAGGAAGGCTAAAATGTGTAATTATTGACTCTGTTGGATATTTATAACTTCATCGGATTTTTCAAGTTTAGGCAACCGCAAAGTCTAAATAAAAATTAAATTAAAAATTAAAAAGTGATTTTTCGTATTTTCTCTTGTTTAAAATTAATTTGAAATGAGTAAAACACACTCTTCCTTTAATTTTTTGTTGGAAGAATCGGGTTAAGAAGATTAATATTAAAAATGTAATGAAAAATAATAATCCAAAAAGGGTTGAAGGTCTGGGTTCGGGACCCAATCCTATAATTTAACCTATTCAAACACATCTTCGAATTAATTTTTTCCCAAATTTTTAAAAATATTTTCAAAACAAATATCAAGTTAAATGAAATATTTAGTGAAAGAAAAAAACAATTAAAAATTCTAAGAAAATGTTGTAAACTTTTTATAACGTGTAATTTCTTTTTAATTTTGCCCTTTTTCTTCAAAAATGTGCAAAAACTTTTTTGTGCAAAACAACTTTTTAATAAAAAATTTCTCCCCCATTCTTTTAATTTTTGACAAAAATAATTAATTCCTTTTTTTTTATCAAAAGAATAAATTTTAATCATCCAGAAAATCTAAAAATATTTTTATAATTAATTTCTCTTTTCTAAAAATAAATTATTAAAAAAATTCTTCCTTTTTAATCTTTATTTTAAACAATATATCCCCCCATCCATTATTTAATATCAACTCTCTTTATTAACATAAAACGCCTTGGGGGAAAAGAATATTTTTTTCCACATTTTCTAATCGATTGTTATTTAACACAAAGAGGCATTTCCACCCGCCTTTTTGTTCTCACTTTTAAATTTTTATTTTATAATTTTTCTTTATCCATTTTCTATTTTTATTTGTTTTAATCCTCCCACAAAGCTTTTGAAATTTTTTTAATGAAGTGGGGGGAATTAAGAGAAAAGAAAAAAAAAGTAAAAATTTCATCTCTTTTTAATTCTCTTTTCAATTTACCACTTTTCACTATTTTTTTATCAGAAAAACGCAACTTTGTACAGACAGAACTAGGGGGTAATACACCGTTAGGACATTTTACCGAAAAAATTTTAATTTACTGAAAGGCCTTGAAAGTCTTTGAGTTTATAACAAAACTGTATCTCTTTTTTTAACCAGCCTTCAATAGACAAATGAATTTAGGGAAATTTTTCAGAAAAAATCAGAATTTTCTGATTTTTTAAAGTTTTATTTTGTTTTAGGTGAATTGTCTTTTCTGTGAATTTCCAACTAAATTTTCACCTAAAATTTATTTCTACTTACTCATTTTACTCTCAAAAAATTAAGCAACTTTTCTTTGTACAGCCTTTAAATTACAAAAATGCAAGGGAATGAAATTGAAAAAGAAAAAAATAATGAAATAATAAATAAACAAACATTAAATAATAATGAAAATAATGATGAAAAAATGAATAAATTGGAGGATAGACTTGAACAAGCTGGAATTGTAAAACCTCCAGATGGAGCTTTTGGATGGGCTGTAGTTTTTGCCAGTTTTTGTACAAATGGAATTGTTGATGGAATTATTTTTACTGGTAAATCTAGTATAATTTAGCCATCCCTTTAATGAGATGGTATGAGATTTAGACATGAGAGTATCCATTTTATGGTACAGATAGGTGGCTCACCCCTTCTCTCACGAATTTACAGGAACTGAGGGCAATAATTTGATAAGCATTAGGATAATTATAATATAGTATATTATGGGCATTATAAGATACAAGTTTTCATCCCCAAAGGTGTATCTACTAGTATTCGGCACGGTTCGATACTACCGCGGTACTGACGGTACTACCGGTACCGAAAAAATTCATTTGCCGAACACTACTAGAATATCTACCAAGAAGGTTAGATTGTATTATAATTTAACAAAAATTTTAAATTAAAGTCAGTGCAAGTCTAGTACCTCGTTGGGAACGTTTTTTCAACAACAACACAGTAACTAATGTAACTTCTCTTTTGGCTGGGTTTTATTTACTTTCTGGCCCTTTAGCCTCTGCTTTGGCTAATTCTTTTGGTTGTAATACTGTTGCCGTTGCTGGTTATTTTAAATAGAAAAAATTCAAAAAAAAAATTTGATTAGGGGCTTTTATTGCTGCAATAGGCTTTCTTGTTAGCGCCTTAATACCTGCTTTGCCTGTTTTGTATGTTGCTTTTGGAATTATTGGGGGTTTGAAAAAATTGGAAATTTTCTTTAGAAATTAGTCTTTCTTTAGGAATTGGCTTTGGACTTGTTTTTCTCCCCGCAATTGTTATTGTTGGGCAATATTTCTCAGAAAAAAGAGCTTTAGCAACGGGAATTGCTGTTTGTGGTTCTGGTATTGGAACGGCTATTTTTGGGCAGGTAATTGAATAAACTCTAAATTTTCCATAGAATTTTGTATAATTTATTTCTAATAGTCACCTATTGTGATCACTTTCCTCTTATTGTTCTTTAATAAAAATGGTTTTTGACTGAGATTTAGAATTAAGGGAGGTTAGAATTTTCTCCTATCAAGTCTTTCGGCTAAAGACTTTGTGTGACAAGATTTTCTTTTAAAGTGGGTGACTGTCGGTTTGAGGGAGAGGGTCTAATTAAAATAAACACAAGCTTGTCATTATTGGGAAGGACGATTATTAGAATAAATTATGTGGATGTGGGTATTAGAGAGAAGAATAATTTAATTCAACCAATTAATTGTACGAATAAAAATTATTTGTTTTCAAGATTAATCCAATAATTCTCGACCATTTTGACAAACTTGTCGGTGAAGAAGATAGTTGGCGTATTTTTCTACTTTTTCTTTCTGCAATAACTTTAACTTGTGCAATATTTGGTTGCTTCTTTAAACCTTTAAAACCTTCAAAATCGCAACTTGAACAAGTGAAAATTTGAAAGAATTTTAATAAAAAAAAAACTTTTTTATAGTAAAGGTGGTTAAAATTGCGAGTGAATTTATGGGAAAAGGTGGAAATAATGAGGAAATAATATTGAGAGAGGAAAATGAAGAAAATAGTAAAATTATTAGAAGGCCTTCTGACACTACAAAAATTACTCAAGGAGTGGAAATTGAACGGTGAATTTTTTGTAGCTTTACAGTATAGTTCAAATAAAAAGAAGGCTATATTTTTTTAATGGTTTTTAACCCCTAGTTTTGTTAAACCTCCCCAAAATGGAGCTCTTTCACGTCGACGAGTAGATTCATTTTCACAAAGACCTTTTTTATCAACACTTGAATTGTTGGCTAGTCGACATGCACTAGTTGGTGATTATTTTTAAATTTTTATTTTTTTATGAGTCCAATTAATTATTAAAATTTAAGAAAAAAAAAACAATTTTAACTTGCTCAATTTCTTTAACTCATTTTCCAATATACGGAGAGAGAAAAAGAAACAAACAAAAGAGTAGGGCGTTTAAAGTAAATATTTACTACGCTAGCACAGCGACATTTATTTTAAATAATTTTCCTCCCTTCTTTATATAAAGAAGAAAAGAGGTTAAAAATGTTCATTCCAAATGGACATATACTAAAATTGGAACAATACAGAGAAGATTAGCATGGCCCCTGCGCAAGGATGACACGCAAATTCGTGAAGCGTTCCAAATTTTTTCTCAAATCAAAAAATAATTTTTTGGATTTGTAAATTGGAGAGTAGAGATTAATTTAAATTAAATAATTCTTTAATTAAATTAGGACCAATCAAGCACTTCAAATGCTAATTTGGCAAGAAAAGTCAGCAAAGTTGGAGTTATCGACCTAAATCGCCCCCTTAGCCGAATGGATGTTTTCTACACCGGATCAACTCAAAGTTTGGCAAAGAGAACACAAAACAGAATGCCAAATTTTAGCGAAAATAATTTTTTTGAAAATAAACAAGAAGCAAAACCTTCAATTGGAAAATCTAATCTTTATTTGAGTGCTGCTGGTTTACATACTTTGGAAGGGGCGGCAAAGTCTGGAATTGTTTCCTCTAAATGGACTAATAATATTATTTCTGTAAATATTTTTTTATTTAAAATAAGAGAGCCCTCACTCCACCTTAATAGACTAGGAGAAAAATTATCTAAAATTTTTCCTTCGCTATTAAAATACCTTATTATATTCGGGTTTATCAGAGATATAACAAAGTTGAGAGCACAAGAATAACACTTTATCCAATGTAGAAAGTTACAATAAAGGCGGAGATGGAATTGGACCTTCAATAAAAATAGGAAACAAATACACAATGTTATTAGATTAAAAAAATAAATTTCAATTTTTCAGTCCCTTCGTTCAATGCTTGATTTGGGCCTTTTACAAAGCCCAACATTTCTTGTTTTGGCAATTAGTGGTTTCTTGACACTTTTTTGTTTTTTTGTGCCTTTTGCTTTTATTGGGGAATTAGCCGCTAATAAAATATCTTCAACAACAACAATAAATAATTTTAATAAAAATGTTACAAATAATTTAAATAATTCGGAAAGTGGTTCAGCTTCCCAATTACTTTTGGTTCTTCTCGGTAAGAAAGATATAGAGAAAGGGAAAAACATTTTTTGTTTTTAGGCCTTTTTAATGTTGTTGGACGTGTTTTATGCGGGTAAGTTTTTAATTAAAACAAAAATAACATTGAAAAGATTGTTGATATATATTTTGAATTTTAGTGGAAAAGAGATGTGGAATACTTTTTCTTATTCCCAAATAATTAACAAGCTCAAAAAATTAATTTTACCAAACAATCCCTCCCCTATTTATAATAGTTATACCGATATCCACTATATGGCGGTATATCCAATTTTGTTTTGGGAGGAAACTTTTGATTTTGTTTGCTACTTTTCGCTATAATGGGGCCTTTTTAACGTTGTTGGCCTTTTTAACTTTAATTATTGGCGGAATAGCTACAGCATATATTTCCATCAGGGGTGGGTTTAGTCTCGTGTCTCATATCTCGGGAAATCTCGTATTTTTTGAGAGATCTCATATTTTGTAGGACGAGACCCACCCCTGTTATCCATCCTGTTATATATCCTCAGAATTGACTACAATTGCCATTCCTTATGCCATTACCTGAATAACACTAAAATACCCACAGATATACCTAACACCGTTACATATTTATTTGTGATTCCCTTGCTAACTTTTTCTTCTCATTTAGTTATATTTCTGATCACCCAAAAGTCGATCCTTTAATTGTTTCAAATATTGCTTTAATTATTGGTGGAATAGCTACAGCATTTGCCCCTTTACTTAATCAACTTTGGATGTTTGCTATTTATTGTTTTCCTTTTGCTTTTGGTGCTGCCAGTTTTGCAGCTTTACGTTCAATTATTTGTGTTGAATTACTTGGTATTGAACGCCTTTCTAGTGCTTTTGGAATGTTAATGCTTTTTATGGGGTAATTTTGGAATAAATTTTTTTGGGAAAATTTTTTTTAATTTTCAGAGTTGCTGCTCTTTTTGGTAGATTTTTCTCTTTTTTTTAGTTTTTAGTTGAAATATTCTGATTTGTATTTTGCACTTCATAGTCTGTTCATGCCTTTTTCAATACTCTATCTAGATATTATATGTACCGTATTTCCTATATTAGAGCCCCACCCTCTGTTAGAGCCCCACCCTCTAATACAGCCCCACTTTGGAGGATAGTTGAAAAATAGAGCCCCACCCTCAATTAGAGCCCCACCCCAAATACAGCCCCACTTAAAAATATCGGAGGAAAAAAATATCCCAATAAATTTTTAGATGTATTTCGAGAGCTAAGGAAGTAAAGGGTGATATTGATAATATTGTGATCATGGAGGAGGAGGGATCCCCGATATCCTCCAAATCCCTCCTATTACCTCCAAAATCTAATCATTGTATGAAGGGTTGCAGTCGTGTTAGGAAATTGACGATAATTCTCGAAATTATTAGAGATCTATTAGGGACTTATAATCCGTGATGGAGAAGTTCCAAAATTTCTCTGGAACCGGTTCCAGTTCTGGAACCTGTTCCAAAGCTCATCAAACAAAATCGCTTCATATGCCTCCTAATACCCCTAATCCAGAATATCCCTCTTATTCCCGCTAAATCTTTCAATATAAACTTAATCCTATTATATTCCCCATAATCAATTAAAATCCACTATTATACCTCTGATCCATCGATGTCAAATACTAAACCCCTAATATTTCCCGTAATCCGGCCAAATCTACCAAAATTTCATAAATGGTTTTACTCTCATTGAACTATTGCGACTATTTTGTTATTCAATGCTTATAAAATTTTAATTTTTTGTAAAAAATCGAAAATTTTGATTCTTTCCTATATTTTTCGGTTTTATCGACCACCCCTCCGGCCTAACTCTAGTTACAATGGATATTTAATAAATGGGATTTTATCTCAAAATAGGGTTGAAAAATAGAGCCCCACCCTCAATTAGAGCCCCACCCTTTAATACAGCCCCACCTTGGAGGATAGTTGAAAAATAGAGCCCCATGGGGCTCTAATATAGGAAATACGGTATCTATAAATTTTGACTCCAAAATTCAAAGCATTTGAGATTTTAAAAAGTCGGGTCGGGTTTTAGGAAAGAAAATTTCTCGAGTAAGGTTCGGGTCAAAAAAAGTCCAGGGTTTTGGATAACCCGTGTCACGACACTTGCAGATATGACATTTGCAGACCCGACACTTGCAGACCCGACTTTTGCAGACCCGACATTTGCAGATACCGACACTTGCAGATATGACACTTGCAGATCAGACATTTGCAGATCCGACTTTTGCAGATTAGACCCAGTTCGCTCTTTTTTACCTTACCTATGCACCGTGGAGTGTTTGCTGCTGCGGAGGAATCCTGGGATGCCCATCTCATCGATGATAGGAATAGGAGCATGTTACGAGCCCAGAGCCCAGCGACCGTTGACTCCCCGCGAGGCGCGTGCCGCAAAACCCCGCGCGAAGCGCGGGGTTTTGCATAAGCGCCTTGCCAACGCTCCATAGGTCTACGTTGAACATTTTGAACCTCCGGAAAAAAAGAATCTCCGGAAAAAAGAGTGGTGCCGTTCGACTCAGCTCGTCGAAACGTTTTGGTATGGGTCTTATATCAAAACCTTTCCACCGGTATACTATACTATATCCTTTGATTTTCTAAGATTTTTAAATTTTTTAAAATTTTTTTTTTCAAAATTTAATATCTGCAAAAGTCGGATCTGCAAATGTCTGATCTGCAAGTGTCATATCTGCAAGTGTCGGTATCTGCAAATGTCGATCTGCAAAAGTCGTCTGCAAATGTCGGGTCTGCAAATGTCATATCTGCAAGTGTCGTATGACCGGATAACCCGTCCCATGCCCTGCCAAAGAGATGCGAAGGAAAATAAAAAGCGAATAGACGGAGATTTCCTTCGCATCGCTTTTTTAAAACGCAAAAGATCCATCCATGTCTCTTTAGGATTTTACTTGCCCAATTTAAAGTTTTTCCAACTACAAATCAGAATCCCCAACTTTTCTCTAAAATTTTAAAAATAATTTTCTTTTTTTAAAGGCCCTCCATTTGCAAAATTATTAAAAAACTTTACGGGTAGTTACGGACTATCATTTCACATTATGGGTATAATGATGGTTGTTAGTGGGGCTATGTGTATTCCTTTAAGAAAAATAAATGTTTGGGAAGAAAGGAAAAATAAAATTAAAAAATTTGGCCAAACAAAAAATGAAAAAGAAAATAATGATGATGAAAATATACCAGAATTACAACCTTTAAATTAAAAAGAAATTTTTAATAAATATTACAGGGTTCCTTTATTGTTATGTATTTTTTAACAGAAAAATAATTATTGGAGGAACTCTATTCTTTTAATTTTCATTTTATTGCAATAATTAAATAAATATAATAATTAATTAAAATAAATATTTTTGGAAATTGAAAAAGGGTATTTTGTTATTTTCAAAGGATAAACTCGGAAAAAATATGAGGAAATTTTAAATTAATTACCAATTATAAGGCAAGGGATGGTCATATTGAGACTCCCATGAATTTCAGAAAACTAGTAGATATTTTTGATTTGTTTTCAAACACAGTTAAAACCTAATTAAGTAATAGTTGTCTAATTCATAAATATCAGTTTGTTATATAATTAACCATATATTCTGTATTTTTATAATCGCGCAACAGATTTGAGTAATAAATTGAAATAATAATTTCAAGCCCTACGGCTACGGGATTTCAGTAGTACATTTATTATATCGAGGAAAATAATTTTTTATGTTTTGAACCAATGTTATTTCTTTCACTATAATCCCGGTAAATGTATATATCCGTATTCTCTCCCAGATATTTTCTCCAATTATATTTAAGAAATTAAAGTAATTATCCATCAAACATTATAAACAATGATCAAAGAATGTTTTTGATAAAAAAATTAAAAAAAAAAGAAAAGAGAGGGAAGGGGAGGGAGGGAGGGGAAGAGCGGGGGGAGAGGGGAGGATGAGGTAGGGAGATAGTCGAGTTGGGTAATATTCAAAAAAATTGTCTTTATTGATTATAAAGTCGATAAAAGAAAATTTAAATATTAATGTATATCCCTTACCCTTCATCCTCCCCTATCCTTACCCTTCATCCTCCCCTACCCTTCATCCTCCCCTACCCTTCATCCTCCCCTATCCTTCCCCTCCCCTCCCCCCTCCTCCCCTCACCATTAATTTTAAAATTCTTAATAAAATTAATTTTTTCTTTTAAATTAATGTTTAAACTCTTAATTTCATAATTTAAGTTTAAATAATTTCTTTTAAAAACAAATAATTTAAGGGGATTAATTTAAAAAAAAAGTAAAATGTTTTCTATTTTCATTTTATTTCAACTTTTACCAACTTTAATTTATTCACAAATTGAATGTGATCTGTGTGGATATGAATTTAGAGGTGTTAAAGAAGAAATATTTTTAAATGATGTTCATCCAACATCTGTTAGTATTAGTTTTTTTTGAAAACAAAAAATTATAAAAAAATATAATCTAATCGCGAAATTTTTATCTCTGTGGAATTTTGTTTTTCCAAGGCGAAAATTTGCTTTATCTCAAGGAAAATTGTTTTCCCCTCAAACTGGAATTTCACTTTCTTTAGAAAATTCCGTGTTGAATTAAGACATTTGAGGTTTCACTCGGAAAAGCCCGTCGAGCTCTGTATATAATTGTATTCTTAGCTCGCTCGCGCCGGTAAAAACTTTGTTTCCACGAAGGCCACATATAAAGAGGTACATAAAACAACAAGTTTTATCTTTCTTAGTCAAATTATAGTAATTTAATTCATTTATAACCTCTTTCAAATATTTTGACTCCAGAGTGGATATAATAGATTTTCAAATAAAGTGTAAAATTCCAATTTGAGGGTTGAGTGTCCTTTTGCTTAAGAACAAATTTTCGCCTTGAAGAACAATCTTCAAGAGAACGTAATTCCATAGAGAGCGAGTCTGCAAAATGTAAAATTCAGGATCCGAACCTAAGCGAAGAGATTACACTTGAATATGATAATGCAAAGATTGGATCTGGAAGCTTTTCTCAGGTAAAATTGAAAAAAATATTTATTTTTGAAATTAAAATTCTTCTTCCTATTTGCAAAATAGCAAAAGGACATGGGAATATTTGCCAAAAATAAAAAAAAGATTATCGTAATAATTAGGGCTGAAATAATAATAATTACATATTTCATGATGAGAGAACTCCAAAAATGGTGTTTTTACATTGATCTGAACACTTGAGGACCCCGTTCTTAAGTATATCGGTGAATAATTTTACCAAAATTTGTGCATATTTTGGCATTTTTGAGAAATTTGTAACTTAAAAAATATCCTTCGTCAAAATATATAATTGTATTCCATACAATTGTGTCCGCAAAAAAAGTCCGCAAACAAGTACCATTTTTTGTCAGGATTTTAGTTATACTTTTTCAAGCGCTAGAAATAATTAGTGAATAAAAATAGGTATTACATATAATTTAAGGTCTATCATGCAACATTAAAAGAAGGTTATACCCTCGGAGGAAAAAATCGGAAAAAATTGGGATGTATTGGATTAAAGAAAACAATTATGACTAATGAAACAAAAAATTTGGAGTCTATTGAATTAATGCAAAGAAATGAATGGGAAATTTTACTTTTATTTAGTGGATTGGGAGAAGAAAATAACAAAAGAATTATTAAACTTTATGCAGCGTTAGCTTTGTTTTCTATAAAAATTCTTGATTCATTTAATTTAAAATATCAAAGATTAATTTTTAAAATTTAGTAACATTGATCATAACCCGACAGAACGAATTCTTTATTCATTGTTAGAATGGGGAGGTGGTGGAAACTTTAGAAATCATATTAATTATAAACATGATGAATGGGGAAGTGGAAGTAATTGGGTAATTAATGACGATAAAATTTTTGAGGTTATTAAAGACCCTGTTCTTGTTATGGGAGAATTGCATCAAAGTAGGGATTTTTAAAATTAATTTTCTATTTTTTTGATATCATAATGACTTTTAAGATTTTTACTAATGTCCGGCACCGGACCTTTTTGACGGATTTCTTCAAGTTCCGGGGGTTTTCACGATTATTTTCAGACCGGATTAATACAAAAACTGGCCGGATCCGGTGACCCAAAATCCACTATCAGGTTTCGAACTCGGAAGAAGTATTTTGCTGGACATCAACATAAAAATCCTTGCCTTATTTATAAACAAATATTTTAACCTTTTGAAAATTTTACATTTATTTTCAAACAAAAAATATAACTTCTAAACACAATTTCATCTCCGCACTTTTATTAATAATTTTATAATTAATACTCTTTTTAGAAGTAATACATTTGGACTTTAAACCAGAAAATCTAATTTATGTTACGAGAAACGAGGAAACAAGTTTAAAAGCAATTGATTTTGGAGGAGCTAAAATTTTTGGTATTAACGACCAGCATCGTTCCTATCATTCAGTAAACATCCAAAACCAACTTTGTATAATTTCTAAAAATTCTCCACTTTCAACTAAAGCTTATCGAAGTCCTGAACACAGAAATTTACTTTGTCGTCAACATAATATTTGCCCTGTACATGAACAATGCCCTGAAAATAATACTTTATGTCGAAAGCATGAAAAAAAATGTCATAAAAATACATATTATTTACTTAGTGTAAAATCGGATGTATGGGCAATTGGCACAATTTTATTTCAAATCACTATGGGAGATTTATTAGCTAGAGTATTTAATCCGGAAATTAAAACATTGAATAATCTTAGAAAAAATAACCGAGAAGTAAATATTTTTAATTAAACTATTAACTAAAATTAAGAACAAAATAGTAGATAGAAATTTCTTCAAAATACCACAAATTAATTTAAAAATTTTTTAATACTTTTCTCTTATATGCCCGCAAATCTTTAGCCAAACTTTAACAATTGATCCTAATCAATGCCGGGTATGGCTCCGGGAGTTAGCTCTGGCGGAGCCAGAGCTATTGAGCCGGAGCTATTGACAACCCCGAAGCCGAGGTTTTTTAATTTCGGGGACCTACATATGTATATCTTCATTACTTTTCCGTTGAAAAATATATAAATCGAATGACTTTGGAACTATCAAATAGCTAAAGTGCGGACATAGTTTAATAGAAAAGTACCAAAATTTCCCAAATTTAATTTAGTTTCCAACTACTGGTGAAATTTTGGAATGGATAACAACAAAATATAAAATATTTAAAAGTTTTAATGAATGGACTCAGATTATATTTAATGATTCGGAAAATATTTATGATTTTTTGACGTTAATTTTGGAAACGAGAATTTGTTGTCCAAAAACATATTTGTTAATTATTGTAAATAATTTAAAGAAATAAATTTAAAATAACCCTAAATAAACACTAATCAAAAATTAATATAAAAATGTATTATTGGCTGTTAATTTTACAGAAATTGGGGATGTTCTGTTCTTCCTTCTGGGATGCTAACTAGTAGGGAAGTAATTATCTGAGGGAGGGCAGTTAATTAAGTATTAGTTAAACAAAAATCTCGATTATTTAAATCGAGATTTTTAGAGATCTCGAACGACAATTTCCATCCCAATACGGTCTCTAATAAATACTTTATACCGTATTTACTAAAATAATTACCCTGGGTAATTATTTTTTCGATCTCTCGCTGAAGGAAAAATAAATAGAGACGAGGTAATTATTTGAGGGATGGACATTAATTCAGTTTTATGGACTAAATAACTCTAAAAACATTTTTAATTAAAAAAATTTCTCTTTTAAAATAATCTTTTCAAAAAAACATTTTTAGGCAACACTCCAATACAATCCAATTTATCGTCCAACAACATTTGGTATTTTGTCATATTTGGGAGGGATGTGTAAATTTTGGTTTCCAGAAATTAAAGGTTATGATAAAGAGGGGCAATTAGTAGATATTGGAGGATTGGATGATATATTTTTTGTTCCGGGACTTTCTATAAATTTGCTAAAACAAATTTTAACAAATATTTATCTTAATGTTGAATTGGATGAAGAAAAGCGACAAAAAATTATAAATTTATTTACTTTGGCTGAAAAACAAATAAATATTGGGACGGATTATATTTTTAATTTGCGTTATTGTTAGTCGATGAAATGGATGCTGAAAATTAAACTAAAAAAGGAGAGGCTGTGAGGTGTCCGTGGGACTTCGGGATGAAATTTGGCAGATTGGCAGATAGGTTATATGTAGAAAAGGAAACTGAGGGGGATCCTAAAAACTTGGAGGTTTATAACTCTGTCCACGGTACCCCGCAGCGAAAATGGTGCAAATTTCATAACTAAAGTAGGGTATGATCTATCTGTGTGCCAAATTTCATCCCAAAGTCCCACGGACACCTAACAGCCTCTCCTTTATAAATGAAAGAAGAAACGTTGAGAATTTTTAAAAAATAACCATAATTTTTTGTGTGAAACCTTTTTTGAGTAATTTAAATTTTTAAAGTTAGTCATAAAAATTTTTTAGTTTAAAATAAAATTAAAAAATATTTTTAAAAATATGTATTATAACCACAATTACTGTATAAGCTCGAATAATTACTCGAAGGGTTATTAGGTTCAAACTCTTTCGGAGTGATTAATTATTTGAGAGAGAGAGGGTAATTATTTGAGCGTATACGGTAAATAAGATGCAAATTTTATTTAATTTAACAGAATTTTTTTATGCACAAATATATATTCTTACAATTAAATTTTATATGTATACAAAATTAAATTTTAATCCAAAATTCTTTTTCCTTCAACTGAACTCTTGCTAATCCAAAATAAAATTAAATTAAGAATTAATCACTGTAAGAGGTCTATTATTAACATTTTTGGGTAAATGAGGATTAACAGCAATTGCTGGAGTAACTGTTGCCGCTCCAACTCTGTTTGAATGACTCGATGATCCATTTAAATAGGCTAATAAAGGAAAACAATCATTAAAAGCTGCATGGTATTTTTCACTGAAAATTTAAAAAAAAAAGAAGTTATTTAAATAAGTTTTGGAATTTGGAAGTTTTTCTAAAAAAATTCATTTTTCTACCTAACAAAATAGAGAACAGGGGCATTCGAACTGTAAGCAACAATACTTAAATGAGAATTAATAAACGTTATAAAATTCTTAGTAACAACATCTACAGCCACAAAATTGTAAAATTGTTTTAAAATATTATTTATAAAAACACCAATCATATTTACAATTATAATAATTAATAAAGATTTTATAATTCGACGATTTGAGGTTGAAACAGCTTTAAAATTAAAATTTTTGGATTTTTTTAAAATCTTATTTAGGTATGTTGTCGCAACTATCTAGTAAGCGATAAAAGTGTAAAGAGCAAGGAAATGGACAACGACCGGAAACAACAAAAGCCGATGGGTGGTTGGATTAGGCCGCGGTTTGGAGAGAATGGGCCCTAGATTGAAGGACAGCAGTCCAACCCAATTTTTCATAATGTTCTGGGGTCAAAATTTCTTGGATACCCCTTAGATTACCACTTTGCTCTCTATCTCCCTTCTCTTACCAGTAAAAACTGTTAATGTTGACTATATCAGGGATGGGAGAAGTTAAGAGAAAACCCTCCCTATCTCTTAAACATACCGTAAAATCACCTTTCGATTGTATCTTGCTTTTAAAACTTCCGAATTTTAGTCTCGCGGTTTTAATCTCCTCCCAAAAATGTCAACTCTTTTTAAATTATTACGGAAATTATTCTGAATCATTATTGTGTCTTGTTGCATTTTTAAAAAATACTCAATTTTTACCCCAAAAAATCTACATTACAAAATAAAATCTTTTTACCATTTCCTCCCAAATTTTTTCTTAAAAAAACTAAAATCCAAATTAAAATATAAGTAATCATTAGTGTAGAACTAAGAGTAATTCCATTAAAATACATTATAACAGACCAACTTCCACGGCTTATATCGTAACTTGAACAAGTAACCAAACTGGATTTTTAATATTTTTTTGAAATTTATTTTGGTAATTTTAAGAATTTTTTAAATGAAAAGGGGGGAATGATTTTTGAGTTTTTTTATTTTTGAATAGAGAGGTGGTTACTGTGTTCTCTAATTTATTTTTTGATTAAAAATCTTTGGAACAATTAATTAATTAAATAAAAATAATAACATTTCTCCATCTGTATCTGCCAAAACATTTAAATAAAGAAATAATTGATAACTGGCATATAAAATTAGAATTGCCACAACTAACAACGTGTAAACCTTTGTATTCCTATTTTTATACCTAAATATACATATTAAAATTAATTGAAAGTTAAACAAGGATGAGATTAATCAGAAGTTAAAATTTGTCTAATTATTATACATATAAGGCCGAACCCGTCCCAGAAAATAGCAAAAGATTGGTGGGATTTAATCCTGAAAGCTCTCAGATGCAAGGTTGTTAACCATTCAACCACTTAACATTCCATTTTTGCCTTATCTGCTAGGCTGGGAAGTTACAATACAAAATGGGTAGCAAAGCCCGGCTCGATGCGATGACCGACCCCCTCCCTCTCCGGCCGAGCTCTAATAGGGAGATATTAGAAGTAACAAAATAAACTGATTGAATATATGAGATTGCTCTTTTGATAGTCTTATATTTAAATTTTAATTAATTTTGACAAGGATTTTAATTTTGACATTAATTTTGATAATTTTGACTACCAAATAGGTAATTTAATGGCAAATAAACGATCAAAACCAATCAAAACCATTGTCATTTGTGCATTATTTCCTGTAATAATCGACA